CTAAATTTAAAAAAAATCCACTTCTAAATATAAAGGATAGCTACAGGTAAAGTAACCAACCCAAATACTGAACGTCAAAAGCAAACAACTGTGTATTCCAAATGTTAYAAGGAGTAAGGACTTACAGAGCACAGTTGTCAATCTCACAACACTGTCAAAGCCACAGAAAGAAGTTGCCACAAATTAAGCCACCACAGCGAGTACTTGAAATAGGCACAAGAGGAAGGTGTTAATTCCAGGCCTAGCAGAGGAGAGGTCTGGTTAGCACATCCTGGTTAATGCATCTGGACAAAAATTCCCACTGTGGCAAGCTATGGAAAAGGAAGCAACTGCTTACACAGATGCTATCCCAAATTATAGGAACATCTGCAACCACCCTATGGATACTTGAAACTTCAGCTGTATAAAGGTGTGGACTCCAAAAGAACGTTAAATGAAATCCATATTATTGCCTTTGGCATATGGTTTCATTCACATCCTAATTCGGACAGAGACATCTCTCACTAATCARATCATAACATATGGTCACTTTGAATAGACAGGAGAAAACTCAGTTCYAATTCTAATCAAATAAGTCTACACTACATTGAATTATCTAATGTTTAAATGTTCTTTTTACCACCTACACAAAGTAAAAGCTTACAACTGGGATACAGTTTTAATTTCTTTTCTTTAGGCTTAAGAAAAGCAAAAAAAAAAGGAAAAAATTAAATATAACAAGTAGACAATCCATAAAGTACACTAAGCTCATCAATTCTTCACAAAAAATATTGGGAAAGGGCCAAGTTATTTAACTTTCCAGAACAGCTGCTTAGCATTCACAATACTCAGTACCATTAATGCTATGAATGYCTCAAAAAACTCAGAATACTTTTATTTGGGTTAAAAGAATGTCGTTTGCAAAAGCAGTTCAGAAAAGAAAGCAGTTCAAAACACTTTTGAGAAGCCTCAACCCAGCTCTGATGGATATACCTTGATTTCAGTTTTAATCTAATCATAAATACAAGAAATTTGTTTACCAGCTAATTTTCAGAGCAACTTCATGAAGTTAATGTATTGCCTGAAGTATACCCCAAATGTCAATATCACCATCTCTGCTGTCCCAGATCCATGAGAACAACTTAATCCACAAAGTGAAAACAACAATCCCAATATCAGTTTTCTACAACTTTCGTGTGTGTCTGTGTTTTGTCTCTTTTGTTTTCCTTCATTCAGTTATTACGGAACAAGGTTCAAAAAAAAGACTCAGCAGCATAATAAAATCTTGAGCTTTCAGCAGAGCTATAGGCTGAAATACTTACCAGCTCAACCAATGCAGGGAGTAGGGAACTGGTTGTTGCAGGGTCCTGATAACTTAGTTCTTGCATACAAATCAATGTTGATGTTTTATATATTACATTTTAATATTTTCTGTCTTTTTGACCAGGGGTGTATATAAAATAGAAGTTTATTATTCTTATTATAACAGCAAAGAAGATTTGCTGGAATAAATATGAATCATTCAACAATTCTTTTCCATATGAGTCATCTTACATTTTCCAAAACTGTGCACCTGAACTTATATTCATGCTTTTCTAGCTTTGGTTAACCCAAGGGATTCTGTCATCTGCAGAATTCCTTTCCTTCTCCCATTGTCTCTGCCACTAAATTCAGAACTAAACATACAGGTCAGAGTGATCAGTGAAGAAAAACAAGACTACTTTCAAAGATTTCTTTTCCATGACTGCTGGTTCTAAAGTGTTTTAGAGTGATTATGTTTTATAAATGAAGGCAATATATATAGGGATTATTTTCTTAACTCCTCAGCAGTAGGCAGGATAAACATGGACTGCATTCATGTGGACTGTACACGGAAAAACTAGACTTCAGTCTGAAATAAGATAATTTCTCTAAATATCATTAAGTAGCAGGAAGCYGCTGTAGGAAAAATGCTGTCTGCATCCAGGAAATATATCTGGTTTTCTGCTCTGTAAATATTTTTCTTAAAAATGTTTTTAATTTTTAGCAAGCTCTAAAAAAAAAATAAATAGATTAGAAAACCACATGGAATTGCAGGCTGCCCTGGAAAAAATAAGTGAACATGATGTTGGATTCTTTTGCTAGCCTCAAGAAAGTGCATTCAGCAGAGTCAGTCAATATGAACAAAATGTGCATTTATAAAAAACTACAAAAAGAATCCCATGCCCATGACAGGAGGTGATTCAACTAGCTGTCTGGCAGTAAAGGTTGTTTACCAGGTTTTGGATTCCTAATTGGGTGCCTAGCTTGCTAAGTAGCAGCTGGTCTTTAATTAGTTGAAAAATTATTATCACTAAAAGTTGCCATAAAAAGAAAGAGAACAATATAATTAAAGTGTTAGAATCCATATGGTGGGATATGTATCTTCACTTGTCAATAGCTGTTTTTCCTCTCTTTTCCACTCAGCATTAATAAGGAAAAACTGTTCATTTGCCAAAAAGTTYTCCTTTTTTAATTTGAATTGAAAGTAACATTAAATTGGAAGTGTGCAGAAAGACTGTACATAGTGTAATGTTTCTCTTTGCCTGTGAAGTTATCCAAGATGCTGTTTTCCACAGGGCTGAGTTAGGATTGATGAGTCACCCTTGCCAGCACACCTAATCATGGACATCATTATCTCACCTTCATTCATTATTTATAAAGTAAAACTACATGAAAACCTCTTTGCATGTAAGACTTAGCAAAACACAAATTTTATGCCTGTGATGTATTAAATATGACCATAGCCTGAATGCACATTACAATCTGCAGCTCGAAATTTGCACTATAATTACCTGAAAATATTTTATGCACTACTTTTTCTAGTGGTTTACAGACCTTCTCCACACTTTAGGTTTATTTGCCTGATGCATATGGAATGATGAGACTACATGTGAAGCAATAGGGTGTTAATATGAGAAATCAGTCTAGGAATATGTTTTCTAAAATATTTTAAACACTTGTGCTATCAATTTTAATATTATAGAGTATTACACTGTTTTATACTTGCTGTACTTACTGATTTTGTTAAGGGGGAAGGGAGGAGACTATTACTTAGTTTTGTAATAGCTGAATCTCCTCCAGTTCAAAAYCTGGCAGAATCATCTCATCCATTAACCATCCATTTTGTGGTGGAGAAATTCAATATTGGGGAAGATATTTCCTTGTAACAGGGGTGCAGTATTAAAGGAAAAAAAAAAAACAGAGAAAGAAAATACTAACTCTATTTAGTGCCCAGATTAGAAATGGAAAATGGATAAACATTATATTGCTTCTATTAGCAGTGGATGACCTTCACTTATCTGCAACTGTTACTGCTGAAATAAGAGCAGAGAAATCTAGGAAAYAAAATTATCTTCTGCTCTACAGAAGTAGATTGCCAGTATTCCAAGTCTAGATAATCTTTCWTAGCTAAAGGTAAAACCAAGATATTCAGCGTAAAAGAAAGGAACTGTTTGAAAGCCTAAATTTCCAAGCGACTCAATTATCCCAAACTCTCTCTGCAGCACAAAATTTAGAAAATATATTTTAGAACAGCCCTTCACCATAAAATCAATTGATTCTTGGCAGTAAACTACATACAGGGGAAACAACCTTTCATAACTTTACATARGCCTTTCTTAAAGGTTATGAATTTGCTGACAAAGAAGAAAATATACATTAGATAAGCAGCATACAACAATATGCATCGTGTTTCCTATCTAGATTGTTCAACATTCAGACCTCGCTCGTGTGAGGTCACTGTGAGGCACCACAAAAAATGAATGTGCTCTAAGGCAGCTATAATACAGGAAAAGAATTGTATCAACATTCCATCTTCAAATACATTATCACCAGGTCTCCAAATTGCATTGCTGGCATGAAGAAGGAAGGTTTATCTAGGAATACCATTCAATTTTTCTCTTAACTGGATTTTAATAGGATGCTAATAACTTTCTGTAAGTTAAGATACTGATTTCCTTTTGTGTTGAACATGAAATTATTTAACACTTGTATGTCAATAAAAAAGATTTTATTTCATTTTGGTACATGGGGACAATACTGGAATTTCTTGTAGATTTAAGGTTTAACATGTGCCAATTTGCCTTTTTGAAGAAAACAGCTTGAAAATGAAAATTATTAGCAAATTAAATATTTGGTTCATTAAACTTTAAATATTAATTTATAATTCAGAGAGGACTGAAATAATTCTGTGTTCAAAYACTAACTGATTCATATTTCTTCTATAATACTTTAAGACAGGACTTAACATTCATGGAGAAYTGAGACAAAATTTTTTAAAAACGTTTCAGAAACAGCCACTGCTTTCTACAGGCAGGGGAGTTTTCTGTGGGGGTGGTGGTGTTTGAGTTAATATATTCAGTTCTTCTCCATTAATGCATAAATAATGGTGAACATTTTTTTCTATCTYCCTGTCACCCACAAATCAACAAAATTCTCTATGCCACTAAAAACACGTTGCATTCTTGACTCATTGTGTGGTGAAGAGCTTCAAAAAACCCATAAAAGACAGTGAAGGCATTTGTCTCTCATCTCTGCATTGTTGTTTCAAAAATATCACTACTAATTTTGACCCCTGTAACATTCCACCAATGTTTTGGCAACTGTGTGACCATTTCCCAGWCTGTGTAGGATGGAGAGGCCCTAATTTGACCTGACACTAGAAATGGGTCAGAGGGACTGAAGGAACCTCTCTCCTGGTAATTCTAGGAAGCATGGGAAAGAGGAACCAGGAGGAAGGGGAAAATGGACACAGTAGAAAGGTCAAGCTGGCATTCCACAACAATGCAATCAAACTGGCTTCAAGAACAAAGCTGCTAYCAGCTTAACCACGGGCCATGACAGCAGCTTCGATACATTTAATACACCCATACATAGCAACTGACAGCAGCAGAAGGGGCATTAGCATCAGAGAAATAATTGATGAAATGCAAAGAGAAGTGCCATGATTAAATATTTTCATTCAAAATGTACAAGTATAAGCACAAAAGTGTAAATGTCACCAGTCTGCTAGACAACCATTTTCTTCAAGTTTATAACAGACATGCAATAGTCAACTGCCATTTATTTACATATACAGAATGCTTTGCTGTAGCCAGGACTCTRTATGTTTTCTTTCAATTAAGCTGAATCTATATTTTTTTTCCTCTACTTTAAAATTCATTTTTATTTGAATCTGTGCGGAAAAATGTATGAAAATAAGGCACCCTAGCTGCCAGATTGCTGCATGGACCTAGATTCAACCTTCATGTAATTTCCAGTGGCAGATGATAAATGAAGAGACGAAAAAAGAGAACTGGTACAGAATTCTGATGAGCAAGCCCTTTCTAACTTCAATCAGAAAAAATGAAGACTCCATTTGATTTCCATGAAACAGACTGTATATTACAAGCAGCAGCTGGAAAAGCGCTTATTAAAAACGTAACTGTTAAAAGATGACACTCTTATGGTATCTATTTGCTGTGAGGRCTGAGACTCCCTGACCTGTCTCACTGAAAGTTCTTTAAACACAGTAAAGATTACAAGGCAAGCAGAATTAAATACAAGATAATAGCAGCACAATAATAAGGTGAGAAAATCTTTGTTCCTTTAATCACAGTTATCCAATACAATAACATTAAGCCAGCATTCTGCACTGAAGAATGAAGACTGATACAAAAGATTTTAAAAAATTAAAATAAATTTTTGATTCTCTAATGTACAACAAATTTCTGATATTTCTAATGACCTGATATTTCATTTTCTGGAAACTCAGCCCACACTTAAAACTGAAAAAAAAAGTTTCCTCTTGGTAGAGTGCCTCAATATAACTTCAACAAGCTATAAAATTTATATTTTTACTTCATAATTTCATTAGATATTACAAGAGTGGAGAACTCTTGCTTTCCTAAGTAGTCACAAAGGCCATCTGCAAGACATTTAGATATTAAAACCATAATTAKTTTGGAGAGGTATATTTGTAAATATCCTACATATCAGTCTAATACATGTCAGTTGAAAATTCTGCAATCTATCATTCACTAGACTGGTYTGGAATGGAAAAACAAACAAAAAAAAAGAACCTACTTGATCTTTTTGCTCTGCAGAATTTTTTCATTGTTTCTGGGTTATACTTTTCAATGAGGTGAACTGCCTGGTAGATTTTTCCCTCACAGCTCCAWGTTAATGCAGAGTTCTGAGATACAGAGACCACAAGGGACAAAAATAAGCAACCTATAATAGCTTGCTTACATTATTCAGCATGTGGTATATGAGCACACAATATTTACAAGATTCATTTTACATGCACATTAATTATGGAAAATTAGAGACACCAAGAGAGCACCATTAAGTGTCGATTAGATGCTGAGAACAAGAATGCTGCCAGTGCTAGTAATAAGAAACCTAGATTACTTCCAAAGGGAAGGCAGTTCATTAATATTTTGCTTCTCAACAGTTCAATTATAACATGCCTAATGTACTGGACATTAACCTTTGGGGGCCTGAATCAAATTGTAGAGTGAGTGAGATGACCTTGATCATTTCTTGAAGACACAGATGCAGCTTCCTAGGGAACTTTTATTGCTGTCAAACCAGTTCATCATCTTATTCTGAAACCTCTTATAAGCAGCTCRCCTCCTTCACTTGTAAGTGTTTAGGGCAACACCAAATAAATTGAAATTTTTCTTTTCCACTGGAGTCTGGAGCTCAACAACTGAAAACAAAGTGCACACAAATATCAGGGAACAACAGAAGAAGCATTTGGYCTTAAAAGAGGCAACACAAATTTTTTTCAATCATGTAAAATGTACGGCATGCTGAATGCAGTAGGTGTCAGCCTTTGTGGTAAAAGCTTTCTCATGGTTCAGATAATTGTCAATTAACTTGAGTTAACTGACTTTGAAAGAAAATAAAAATTACTTTAAAATATAAATCTAGTTTATTTCTAGAAATCTATGGCAAAAAGTTCTGATTCTGRGAAAGAAAATAGTTTCTAGTRTACGTATTCATTCAAAAGTTGTTAYTGAAAGCAGATGGTGATGTGAGCTCTAGCTTCCTAATAAACTATAGTTRTTGTCTGAAAATGGAATATAAGTAAAAATGTTCATAAGACTTTGTTTTACTCAGAATAAAGACTATATCATTTYACTTGCATTCAGAATTTTTACTCCTGTTAGCCTACTAGACATTTTATCCTGCTAATAAAAATATAATAGGAGAAAGTAAGTAATTTTTGCAATCCAAGTAGCATATAACCTGGCCTTCTGTTTAAGACCTAATCATAAATGAAGCTGCGTTCTTTCACTGTGCGATTTCTTTTCACAGTTCATTAATTGCAAAGAGATAACTTGAATGGAGAGTTTGCAATTTTATGACAGGGTCTTGTGTGGCCATGAGGGAAGGATCCACTTTTATGTGTTCTTCTCACTAATGATACATCRGGGAATAGAAAGGTGAATATCAAGAGCTAAGAAGATAAAAACATTTATTAAAAGGGGCAGTATAGAGCATAATGTACTTTTGGAGGCAACAGGCCTGTCTTTAATTTTTATTAGTTATTTTTAGTCTCTGAACAGCTAACAACAGGCAAGAATAAGGAGGATTCACTTCACTGCTGCTAAGTAGTAACAAGGAAGCATGAGTGCACCAGAAAACAATCTGACCATTCTTAATTTAATAAATTAAGAAATATTTAAAGGTGTTGAAAATGGAGGTGTTAGAAAGGGTGAAATAAGGCATATACAAACACAGTTCATCTCTTCATTGGTGTCGCTTAGTGCAATCAGAAAAAAACACTGACTGCTGTGTCTGTTCATTAAAAAGCCCAAATAGAAACTTGAAAGAAAAACTTGAATGAAAAGTGTTAGTAAATTTATAAAATACCTTTGAATCACTTTTTTAATTGAAATGAAAATTTTACTATGAAAACCAAAGAGATATAAGAGCATCGCCACAAAATGTTACCAATGGGTAATGTGTGAGAGGACTTAACATTTTCTGGTTTGTTACATACCTTCAAACATACTGAGTTATGTCTACCAGAGATCCAATATTTGGTTGTATGACATGATTGATTAGCCTAGGAAAACCAAATCACACCAAAACTCCTGTACCTGTGAAGAAGGAGGTCCTGTTTAATGTAAACATTCCAAATCAGAATTCACCCTAACACTGTTTAGTTAATGAAAATAAGACAAAAATCTTGTCCATTTAAAATATGTCTGATCATTTCGGAATATATCAAGAAAAGAAATAAGGTTAGTTAAAAAAACTATTACCTGGCTACAGATTTCATCAGTATTCCTCAAAAAGTCCAGAATGCCAATAAACTCAAAAACTCTAAAAAAATACCACTTACTAATGTATGTTTTTGATATCACTAAGGAGTGCAGGTCTCAGGTACAGGTCAGAGCACATGCTCAGAAGTGGAAAATCAGTGTGTTCTTCACAGAACTACAGTGTCCACAAGCTGGAAGAGAATTAGAGTAAGTCCTAAATTCTACTTCCCTGAACTGCCTCAGCATTTCTATAATCAAAATAAAAAATCTGATGAAACCATGTAGACAACATTCTTCTTTGAAGTCCTCAGCAAGACACAGGTGCAATTTCTTGCCAGTGAATTCTGACCTTGAGTCAAGTAATTTCAAACATTTGCTTGATCACCATAACCCACCCGATGGAAAAAGAGTTATTTTAAGGCAAATAGTATTCACCTACTTCAAAACTGATTTGAATTTCAACCTGGGTGTCCCCCCTCTGTTTAGTAAAAATGGCTCTCAAAATCATTCAATAAAGGAAGCTTTTGCAAACACATTAAGGAGGAAGGTTATTTTTTGTAATATAATTTTCAAGTTAAATTTCTGGCTGTACGTTTGGAGTTCTAAGTTAATATCTTTTCATCCAGCCCAAGTAGTCTGGACAAAGAGGAGGTGGCTACAAGAGACTCAATTGGAGATAAATTAATTGCTAACTAAATAGCAGATTTTCTGTAACTAACTTCTCTTCACTGGCCAAAACAAATCAAGGTTGCATTTTTTAGGCAAACAACATACTCAGGGCTGTGGAATCTTAACAGTATATACTCAATAGTAGTATTTTATGTAATACCATCAGGTTATTTTTACAACCCCCAAGAGTAAATGGTAAATAGTGTAAATTTGCCTTCTTTTGTTAATTCACTCATAGGTGGGAAACTGAATGTTTTTCATAACTGACATTAAAAAAGATCACTAATCATCACCAGATATGCTTGTTATCCTTGGACACTACTGGGATAGTGTTCTGGGATAACAAGAGAGGACTAAACAAGTTAATGCTGCTATGATGTAACAAGTTTATATGAAAGCAAACTTTCATAAATGGTCTTTTTTAAAAAAATACCTTTAGTACCTTTTCTATATCAAGATTATTCAAATCTTATTTTTGAAAAAATAAACTTTCTTAACTAAACTTTGTTACTAATATTGAAAATTTGTAGTAAGTTCAAGCTAGTTAGAACTTCTCTCTAAAATCTGGAAGGAAAACGCAGTGAAGATGAATTTTCTATTTAATGAGTAAAATCAGAAACTTTCTTAAACTAATAGTCAGATTTATTATTATTTTAGAGCTACTTCATTCTTGGTTTTCTGTATTCTACTGAGAAAGATCCTATGCCAACATTTYCAAACCTTATTTACTTGGCCAACCTGTGCTATGTAAGATCAAGAAGCACAGAAAGGGAACTAGCCAGCTATCTCCACATTATGAACAAAATGTGCCGCTGTTCTACTCAGTCGTTTAACCAAGACAAGACTCCAAGACACATTCTCCTATGTGAAATTTGAGTAATCTCTCATGAAAGCTGATTTCCCCTGCAAAGAAAGCCTGAAAGGATCCACACATGAAAAATGTTCTACCTTAACACCCTGGGAAGACCTCAGAATTGTTATATGCCGTTTATACTTATCATCCAATGAGCTTTAACAGTTCCAATATGTAGGATGAAGGAGTTAACAGTGGGAAAAAGAGACACTGAAAGCAAACATAAGTGGTGGACACCAATGACAAGCATTAACTACTAAGACACAATAAACTAAAGGCTAATGACCACAGTCTGTTCGAAGAAATATTTCAATCATACTCTAATTTAAATAGACATATAAAGCAAAAAAACAGCCAAATACAAAAACATTATTCGCTTTTAAATTAAGCATATTGTAAATGTAGATGTGGAGAAAACAATGTTATAAAACTCATACATAGAGCAAATCTCAACCTGTTAGTTCTTAAACTAAATGTCTGCAGTACTGGACAAACCAATGCCAATTACATTTGGAAAGGAAAGACTTTACTGTTGATGTAGCCAAAGGAATAATTTGCAAGAAATTGTGTTCTTTACTTCCAGGCACAATAAATATTAGAGGATCATTAAGGAACTGAACTAAAATAATTTTAAAAGACAAAGAGTACATTTGCCCTAACTTGCATTCGGATTTGCTGACTACAAATGTAAGTGTGTAGAAGATCTTCAGAGGTATTTAAAATAATGGGTTACAGAACTTTGGAATACCTATTGCCCAACATCTAAAACTCTCTCTTTGTGTTACTTCAGTGAAATCCCTTTCCCTATGGTAGCACTGAGAAGCTCTCTAATAGGACTTAAAGAAAAGGTTAAGGCAACTTTGACATAATGGTCGTGACTGTAATGCACATACTATCTGCAAACAAAGGCAAAAAAATATTCAGAGATTTCATGGGATCTAAACAGAAATGGCTAAAATTTGAGTCATAAATTAGACCACAATGGGAGTGTGTATAGAAGACAGCTTAAAGATTAGGATGCTCCAGAGTCTAAGACAAAGAACAGGATTCTAGAGCAAAAAGAGGCAGGGCTCAAGTAAGGTGAGGTAGACTAAGAAAAATTCTGAAATGGAGTGAATGTACAGGTGAGCAGGAAATACAATTGTCTACTGCAGCTGTGGCATTAACATCCACATCCTTCTTCCTCATCAGTACCACAGATCATCATGAATTTCTAGCAAAAGATGAGTGACAAAGCATAACAGGAATATTCTCAAAGAAATTTCAGGAAAGACAATAACTAGACAGTTAAGCTACTGCAGTGATGAGAACTAAAATAGCAGGGCTTTTTTTCTTAACTGAACTGCAGATAGATCCCATTTTCAGTGGAGCTGCAAGTAAAGCAGTGCAATCCCCAAACTGACTGTGAACCATTGCAAACACTTTGCAAGACTTTCTGCCATTTTACAGAGAGCAGTCTAGTCTCAAAAAACACTTGAGTTTGACAAATACTTCATTTATTGACAGCACAGAGAATCTCTCCAGCGGTTCTGAAGCAGAAATAATCTGTTGAAGAATTCTGAATCTTCCCAGTCAGTCTTGCCACAATAAGCTCAGTTTTGCAAGTACATATTTCTGCAAACAATTCAACCTGAAATATATTAATTACATCTATCAACGTAGTCTCTTTCTACCCCACACATATATGGTTCAGGTTTCCCAATGTAACTTATTGAAATCACAAATTTCTCTTAAGTAGCCCAAATCAAAAGAATTTTTTAGAACATTCTGTGCTTAAAACAGGGACTTCAGTTAGTACTTTTTTTTTTTTTTTTCCAGTTTCCATTTGGTCTCAAGCATAACTGCTCTAGTTCAGATTCAAGCAAAGTCTGATTGCTAACTCTCCCACCGAAACAGACTGCACTGGAAAACACGACATAAAATCAGAAAGGTGATTTAACAAGGCAGGCCCATAATAAAGTGTCACAGCCAGTGAAAGATGCACCTTTTACTTCCTTACTCCTGCACCTTTTACWCCTTACCATCCCCATCAGCAGCAGAGCACCTAAGTTTTTTCTCAGACTTCTTAATCTGGAATTTGAGCTGTGGTACTGGTGGTAACCCGGCAGCACTCAACACAAACTGCACCAGGACTGTATCAGGAAGAGAAGAATCATAGCAGAGAGAAAAAAGATTCTGTAACTTTACTCTCAGGTAAACCTGTATCTCCAGAGCATTCTAAAACTACCCCAACACATGACAGCAAAAGACACCCCAGGGGTGCCTCTGGCAGACAGAGCTGGAGGCATCCTAACAACTTGCCTTAGGCAGAACAGCCCAGAGCACTTCACAAGGAAGAAACAAAAATCAACGATATGGCCAAGCTTCCCCATTAAATGAAGAAATCTTTGGGGATATCCTTTCCTCACTGGACAGATTCTTGGATAACATTTGCAAAACCTTTTGATGCTAAAACTGCATTTCAACCTGAGTCACACAGTGAATGTAAGGTCTGCATGAACACTCTGTAGATCTCAGTTGGTGGAACTGACCTCACACTAAAGAAGTCTCTGCTGAAGCACAAAATCTATTAGACAAACTGCTCTTTTGAACTGGCATCCCAAAATAGTACCTCAGAAGAAAAGGTTTAGAAATTTGTTTAGAAGAAAAAGTCTAACATCGTAGACAATATCCAGCTGAAGTAAAAAAAAGGAAAACAAAGATTCTAGCACATATTTCTTTTTGGGTTTTCAGTTGCTTCCTTCGTCCATCCTAATAAATGTGGAAAAAACCACACACAAAAACAGAAAACAGGCTTTATGTCAAACAATATAAACAATGGTTCCATGTCAGCTTTACACCTATCATGGTTGCAGAAGTCTAAAAYGGTAATTATGAACCTGAGATTTAATCTCAGTCTTCTCACTGTTACAGGCCCATACATAAAACACCAGTCTCCAAYTTAACTTCATTTTGCAGACGGGAAAGTATGCTCTTACCAGATTATTCAATACCTTTCATAAAGACAGATTTTTTTTTAACATTCTTATTGATTTTCTGAAAAAAAAATCCATCACCTAGTTTTAAGAGATATCATTTATTCAAATAATTACAATTCTCTGAAAATTACACTTCCTTTACCAGCCCACAACATAGCATAAGAACAACAAAAGATCAGCAGCCATTAAGATATTGCAACAAACCACACTTATTCTGTGGGTCTTAAATCAGTCTGAAATGTGTAGTGCAGCAATAATGTGTTGGATGATTAGCCCAAAACTCTGATATCTATTTTAAGTAATTAATTGTAAAGTTAATTTCTATTTACTCAAATAAATTTTACTTATGTTAATACTGTCACCATTCAGTGTGTCCCTGTGAACATGCACATAGATGTATGCACATATACGTGGATTTGTGTAGGTATACATACAAGCTCAAATTAAAACACATTCTATTAAATATCTTCTTGATTTTTAGGGCCTTTTAGCAGCAGTTATACAGCTATTTTRTCTGTGATATGGTTTTGAAATAGAACAAGTGTTTCTGTAGTCCTTAGATCCAATAAAAATATACAAACCATTTTCTTCATGGATATATTCACTTCAATGCACAAAACCCTTCCATTGCTCCATTTATTCCATTAGTGTAGGAGCTTAAATGATGCATGASGCTTTCAGCACTGAAGTGAATGTCATTTTTAAGGACCCAATAAAAATATAAACAATATAGGAACCATAACTCAATACTGAGAAATATTTGCAAATAAAAGTACMATTGTAAATAGCACATTCAGGTCCAGTCTGACAGAAAATAATGTAATTTCTCCAGCTGGCATTAGGCCCCAGTTCAAATCAGCATTTAAGAATGTGTTTATTAACATTAAGCACCAGCTTTAATCAATACAGTTTAAGTTCAGGCTGATATGCATTCTTGAGACAAGGCCTCAATGATTAGAAGAGTATCARTTACAAATTGAAGGTAGCAAAACAGTCAATAGTGCATTGGGAAAATTAAAACCTACACACTTGCTTCAGTTTTAACTGGTCAAGGTAAATGCAAAGTCTGAAAGCCTAGACTTGCTTTGTCAGTGCTACATTCCAGAATAATAAACACAACTATAAAATATTTCAGTTTGATCTAATTTTCTCTGTGCTTCCTAGCAGAGTTGCCAGATATATTATTTGAGTCACTTGTCTAATTTCTTCAATCAAACAAATTATTTTTCCAATTAAGTTGCTCAATGCAATCAAGAATAGAAGTAAATGATGTGAGAAATGTTACAGCACCTGTGACTACCAAAAATAGAAGGGGGAATCAGTGAGCATTCTGTTTCGGCGCTTCCTCCCTTCTACTCTAAGAGATCTGGCCAATTCCCATCAAACACTAAAGGCATCAGTAAGTTCTGAAAAGGCTGGTGAAAATCTGTGGCAGTGTGGCTAGTCAGAGCACAAAAGGGACAGGAGTAAAAATGAGCAGATGCTCTTAYGAGCGCCTCCCTTGAAGCAGACGCGCCGTGCGAGCTCATTAGCGCTCCGCTCTGCTGCTCCYGCTGCTCACCCAGACAGCAGCGGCAACACTGCAAACAGCCTCAGCCAGACAGCGCCTTTTGCCATCCAGCYGCTATGGAACACAGCAAAAATGGATAGGCCACCAGATAAGAAGGCAATCCCGAGRGGTAAGTGAGGGTAAGGTCTACAAAACAACTGAAAATAATTTCATTCCTTGAATAGGTTTTGTTTTGAAGAGAAATGCTGATTTTTAAACTTAAGGAACTCTGGGCTTAAAAAATCAAAGAAGCTGTACTATGCTTCCACGTTTGGTGGAACCACGTTTCTTCAGGAACTGCTACCTACATATTCAGAAGGCAGCAAGTTCTCTCAACCCTGGGACCTGTCCTCACACTCAGAAGAGCAGCGCTATGGCTGTAGCACAAGCRTTTCCTAGTCCCTGCAAATAGCACACTATTCACCTTTGTCCTCATGATAAAGAAAGAGGTAAATTTCTTCCCACATTTAGGATTTGGCACTTCTTAATTGTGCTGGTGCCATTCTGATTTGTGTAGGGACCATTTTTTCTTAAGGGAATTACTTTCTCACGTAAATACTAAATATTCATGAGAGGTCAGCAATGTTGTTAGCACCAAGCAAGCTCTATCCAAACAGCAGTAGAAAAGCCTGCCTTTGTCACCCTGAGCTAACCAAGGCCTGTTTAAAAAAGTACTTCAGCCCACTGAGCACAGAGATGATGCTACTCTTCTAATTCACATACCTTCTGAAATTAGATATTGCTTTTAAGACTTTTTTTGTCCTCCTCAGTATTCTCTTTACTTAGATGTCCTAATCAGGTGCACACCACAGAGACACAGTTTCAAGATACAGGAACAAACACAGTCTCATCTACCACACTTCTCTCCCTTCTGATTCTTTTATATAAAGCTTTGTCAGAGGACAAATCTATGGAAGCAAATACTAATTTTCTCCTTAAATCAAATCAAAACAAACAAACAAACAAACCCAAAACAAAAGAAGCAAAACCCAAAGAAACAAAAAATCCCAAAACAAACCAACCAAACAAAACCAACCAAAAATCAATTTCAAATCAATATTCCTACTTTTTATAGTGTTAGACAGTCAAAAATACTGCAGGCCTACAGTATGAATTTCAAAGTATATCTTGTCTTCGAGAAATATCTCTCCAGTACTTACAAAGTGGTACAGAGTACAAACAGAACAAAAGCTTTTGACAGTTCTTAAAATCCCTGTATCAAACAAAACCTGAAACAAACAAAAAAAAATAGACAAAACCCTGGTGTCCTTGCACTGCACAGAAAAATTTCCAAACTTCAGGAGTTTTCTATAATCAGTTCTCCCAGTTCAATCTTAAATTATAACATGGGGCATACATATATACAAAATCAATAGCTGCATATAAACAAGTTATATTTCTTCTGCACTGTACACTCATCAAAACAGACTACTTTTGAACAGAAAATACACTCACAGGCACAAATATTTATGTATATACAAGTATTACACTTCAGACTCAGGATATCAGCTGGAGGTTTCATGAAGTGGTCTGTTCTTCAGAAGCACTGTATTTAGTTCTTGAATCACATTTGGTGGCAATTTGCTATCTAATTCCAAAGTTGTTTTGTTTGTCTTGTTTTTATTTTTCTTCAATGTCTTATCTGGTCTTTGGTGTAGGTCAGTCATCCCTGAAACTGCATCATCCTCAGAAATCAAGCTTCGATGTGCTTTTGCATGATTTCGAACTTTCTCCTCCTTTCTTTCCAAACATTGTGCAACAATAAATGCTTTTTCTTTCATGTTTTTTCCTTCTTCCAGAAGTTCAATTTCATGATGTTCACCAAATCTTGACTTTGCAGTTTGTACCTCTATATTCTTACCAAACAAGCAAAGAGAAACAAGTTCATTCACACAATTACTTAGATTTCAATTTTTGCTCATTAGTTTACCATAAGGTTTAAAGAAAAAAAATAATTTACTCGAGCTGAGACTGAAAGTCAGTTTTAAATTATTACAATTGTGCTATTATCATTTAGTAAGTATTTTGAGTGAGAAATTTCTCAATTAGTGATACTTCTGAAATTTATATAAATCATGCTCGATGACAATGAAGACATTTACTTTCATATAATCACAATTTGATTTTTCTTTCTACCACAGCAGACTAAATTTTAATGTTTTACAKCAGATCCATATACTCTTGAAGACTCAGAATATTTTGATGGAATGAACACACCAYGTATGCTGCAATTTTGACAATGTAATGACTGGGCAACATGAATATACAAAAGATAATAATCACAAACATTTTCAGCAGCTGTTTAATACTAACAGATRAATTATAAAGACTGGCGGCTTTTTCAAATTGCATGTTGGTGGTGGGCTATTTTCAAGTTCTTAAGCTGCAGAAAATTAAAGGTAAACCAGATGCYGCATCTAAATATGCATTATCGTATTCAAGCTGCTCAGTTGGTGTGGCAGTACATAGAACATTTCTTTTGTGGGAAAGCCTGGTAGTTCTAAAATAGAGTTAAGTCCTGGAAGTCTTCTTTCATGGGTGGTGTCTTTGTTGACTACCATAAGGTAGAGAAAACTGAGKGAGACTTTAGTTCTTTTTATATTTCCTGTGTGGAACTTGTTAAGTTTGACCGGAGTTATTAATCCACAGCATATGAGAAACTTGGAATCTTTAATACCTCATATATGTTAAAACAAACATTAAAAACTACTCAAACACTAGTGAGGGGATAATTTACATACACAGAATTATAGAATAGTTTGGGCCTTTTTSTAGGCCTTTCTTGTATGACTTCTTATAAGTCAGTATAGTATTTGCTCATGCTTGAAAGAAAAAGTTTTTCCTTATTCTTCAGTCTTCTTGTATTTTAAAATCAAATCAAATACTTACTGCAGATACACAACAATGTATTTCYATTTCAATTAAGTAATTCTATATGAGAAATATGCATATTTTAAATGCCCTATCCACTAATGCAAAAAGGGGTGTAGAAATAACCACAATAATTTGATTATATTCATTCCTCAGTTACYGACTCCTTCAAACTTTTGGTATTAAACATTTATCTTGTTAACAATAAAAYTGCTGCCAATAATGGGGGAAAGTCAGACATTCAATATAGACTTTTAAGCAACATTAAATTGTCCTAACTGTTCCTTTAATGACAAAACATTGAAAGAGACTGATAACAAGAGCATCTACAATTTATATTTATCCAGCTCTAGGGAGTGCATTATTACTGGACTACTTAAAATTACAGCATTGTGGTTAGAAGTTCTGTATCAAGTTGAAACCCCACTTACTTCTGTATTCCCTCTGATTTTACAAGTGTTCTTCTCCTGATGAATGGGGATTAGTGGTAAGCCTCTGATCTTTGGACTTTTAGTTATGGATTGTTTTCTTGCTTTTCCAGCAGGTGGCCATATATCTGCATGCTGAAGAACAAAATGGTTCCTTATTTTTGGTGTGTAATTTCACAAATACACAACATTTTGTGGTATGTGAAACCCCCTTGGAAAAAGCCATATACTGCACAAGACTGCACCTTCCTCTTGTGGGAAAAAGGGGAAAACATTACGATGCTTTAAATTACATTAATATTTTGCAAGAACCAAAATGTCTCTACATAATTTTCATGTATCAAACATCTTCCTTCCTTAATATTACTCTAATTATCTTCAAAAAATAGAAAATATCATCAAATGCAACATACATATTGAYTTGATTCACAATTTCAAAATTCCACAGAAGCATGCTTTCAGAAGTCCTAACAACAGTTTCTGAAATTAGACAAAATTACTCCAGTATGTAAGCATTTCAGAATGTGCTTCTAGTTGAGGTCCAAGACCAAAGTGCAGGGTACAACATTTGGGCCAAAACAATCCCAGGTAGTGCTACAGGCTGGGGACAGAGTGACTGGAATGTGGCCCAGTGGAAAAAGACCCGGGGGTGCTGGCCTACAGTTGGCTGAACATGAGCCAGAGTGTGCCYRGGTGGCCAAGAAGGCCAATGGCACCTGGACTGTGTCAGCAATAGTGTGGCCAGCAGCACCAGGGCAGTGATTGTCCCCCTGYACTGGGCAYTGGTGAGGTCACACCTCRAATCCTGTGTCCAKTTCTGGGCCACTCACAACAGGAAAGACATTGAGGGCCTGGRCCRTGTCCAGAGAAGGGCAGTGGAGCTGGGGGAGGGTCTGGAGCACAAGTCCTGTGAGGAGCAGCTGAGGGAGCTGGGGGTGTTTARYCTGGAGARAAGGAGGCTCAGGGSGGACCTTCTCACTCTCTGCAAGTGCCTGAAAGGAGGTTGTAACCAGATGGGGACTGGCCTCTTCCCCCAGGTAAGAAGTGATAGGATGAGAGGAAATAGTCTTAAACGGCACCAGAGGAAATTTAGGTCAGATATTAGGAACAATTTCTTCCCAAAAATGGTGATTAGACATTGKAATGAACTGCTCTGGGAGGCGGTAGTGTCACCATTCCTGGAGGTGTTTAAGAGAAGATTGGATGGGGYATTCAGTGCCATGATCTGTTTGACAAGATAGTGTTCGGTCATAGATTGGACTTGATGATCTCCAAGTTCCTTTCCAAATGAATTGATTCTGTGAAAATTTATATTAATAATTTAGAAAAAATAATTGTTTAACCTATGATAACAACACRTTATCCGAAACACAATCCACAAATATGCAGATCTGTTTTCAATAGTCATTGCTTCAGCTTGACTGAAATTGGTCAGTTTTGGGGAGAAGCTGTTCTTCAATGTGAAGCTTCACTCAGTGAAAAAAATAGACTGGGAAGCAAAGAGAAGTAAAAAAGCATAAATTACTAACTGAATATTTCAAATTTAAGCACATGRGCTCCAAGTCCTCTGGTAATGTTAATGGAAAGCAGAAAGACAAATTTGAGGACAAGGTACTGTCAGGGTACTCTACTGGAAAACCTTCAACATGAAATTCTGCAAATCAAGGAGAATGTCCAAGGCCTACCACTAAATCAACACRACTTTGAAGGAAACTGGACTGCAAACCCATGAAGCAAGTCTCTTCAAGACTGTATTTTAAAAAAATAGTTGTGGAAYTATGACCATACCTGCAGATGGTCTGCAATTAAAAACAGCATTACCATTAAAAAGCCATCAGACTCAGTGATTATTGTCTTACAATGGCAGACTAGAAATCAGAAGATCCCAATTCCAAATTTAGAAAAAGTATTTTATAGACTCAAATCTTCACGGACTAAAAAATTCTCACACATATTGCTGACCAGGGTGATGCAAAAGTCTGTGATAAGAGTTCTCTCCAGCCACCATTAAGAACATTTTCTTCCAATGAAATGAGAAGRTATTATGTGAAAGAGCAGTTCTTGCCAAACAAAATCAGTTTATTATGGATCAAGATATAACAAACAAACACAATCCAGAAAGTGATAGAGAAGCTCTAATCAGCCTCTGAAGAAAACTGTCCACCTTAATTCCCAGCAAGCCTAAGGAAACCATCCCTGTCAGTTAAGCAGCCTGGTTTCCCTTTTGTGCCTGTAACATCTCTTAAAATAGAACTCSGAGAAAGTATATCAGAAATACATATTAGGCCACATAAAAAATGTATTTATTCATAGTTTTGACCCTCTGTTCAACTGCACCTCATGGTAGTATAATGTGCCTCCAGCTGATCAAAGGCAAGGAAACTGGAAGAATACTATTGTGTCTATCTTCATACCAATTAATTACTTCCAACTGTATGCTATGCATGCTTTTAAGAGATTGTATACATAACCATTATAGAATTCAAGAATCAAGTTTCAGCCAGGCTTTTCAGGGTGGTTTTGCATAGAACTAAAGACACACTGGTCCTACTTCAAACAATATTTACCAACTTGAAATAGAAGATTAATAACCTCTGGGTTAACTTGACCGCCTGTATCAAAAGTACTCTTGTCACTAGATTATAGTGATATCTACACCTGGCTATTTATATCCTCTGCATTATTTGTACTACAGAAATAAACATTATCAGAAAACAGGAAAAAAATAAAAATGGTACTACTATCTTACTGAGATTGTTTACTAATCAAGCCTTACTCTGCTCAAGCACTGAGGAGCACAGTAATATTGGTTTATGTTCCTCTTAATTGCACAAGATCATTAAATGTCAAGGTCTTAACACTCCAAAACCGATTTTACACTATTTTTCAATTTCCAATCGAAGTTATTCCACTGACAAAGAAAATGTGCTGCCTGCAGTCTCTCTATCATGTGTGTTGGTATAAGGTAAAAAAAACAAGCTGTCTTCCCTAAAGATGGTCTCAACTTGAAAATTCTAACTAGAAATAACCCCAGCTGACATTAACAGTTTTCTGGTTTAGAAATGGGATAATCTGGTAATAACTCTCTGTTGCTGTATGACACAAAACTTTTTCAAGATCTTATAGCAAGCTTTACCAATATGAGGCACTGCATTCTTAAAGAGATTGTSTCTGCAACAAAGAAGTAGATTGCAATAAGAACAATACACTAAATCTTCATCCTCAGCAAGTAATTTCTCCTGTAGTTTATAGACTGGAAACTTTACTGATGTCCGGAACACTGGTAAAAAAAAACAATTTCCACAAAAAACAAGCCAAACCAAAGAATCCCTTCAATGTAATACTGCTATTTCATTACACTGTTCATTCATCGGAATAAAGTTTTTTAAAAACAGTATGAATTTGTAGCAACTTTTTTTTTAATGCACATGAATTTTTTTTTTCTTCTGTTAGAGAAAATGATCCTGGACATTGAGACATGTCTCCCAGTTTTTTATCTATTTTGTCAAAGGAATGTTCTACATTTGCTTAACAGACTGTTCTTCACTGTGATTTTATGTCAAAAGGACTTGGACAGTTACCAAGCTTGCATGGGTTACTTCCAAGTTTCCCGTACCAATAACCTCTGAGCCTATTTGCTGTGACACTGCTCATGTTATGTCCATGAGATGTATGCCACCTGTTTCCATAGAAACAACAACAGTTACTTCAGTTAGGGGAGCTGAATTAGACAAGAATTTGGAAGCCTTACTTTCAAGGTGTGCATTATACTTCTAGCTCTACAATCTTTGAAAGTAAAATTCTGTTTTAGAAGGCCTCTAAGTCTGTATTTCAACAGTCTTGTGCTCAGCCCACTTTATGCAACACAAAGCTGCCAGGTAATCATAAATCTAGCAATGTTGATTCAYAGTGATATCCTGCAAAGCTCCTTGAACATCACAGGAAAGACAAGAAAATTCTGAGACAGATACAAAATCCTATTAAAACCTTAAACTATGTTCCARTCTCCTGTCAGGCTTAATTCTTCCCATCTCTCTTACTTCCACTTCTCCTATGTAAATATTAACATTTCCAAGAATGTGTTACACGTCACTCAAATATTCACCCTCCTTACAATCTCGTAGCAAGCAGAAGAGTACTTCATTTAGGATAATGCCTCCCAACACAATGAATTGTCAGTGTAAACTAAGTTAACCTAGATACCAGAGAAATAAAAGCCATATTGGCACAGCTCTTCATCAGGGCTAGTTCACACCTCYATGCTTTTAAACATGACACCCTTCTTTAGCAGCATCCAAATTAATGAGCAGAAAAATAGCACTCATCTTGTGGCACACAGACACACCCTTTAGGTCAATGGCCAAAATTTCACCCACAAGAACTTTCTGCAAAGGAAATAATTGTCCTCCTCTAACCAGCTTCTCTACATTACAGCAGGGTGAGGAGGGGAGATGATGCCAGAATCTAATGTTCTTCTCACTCACTCTCAARGCACTCACAGCCTTCATGGTCTAAGATCCATCTTTTAGTATTTTTATTATATTAAGTATTCCCAAAAATTTGGCACTGAACCTTATACATAACACACACATATTTAGTGGGATTTTCATAACAGCAGAATAAGTTACATTTTTTYATCAGATTAATACCTGTGCCATAAAAATGCTCATCATCCACTCCATCTGYACATCTTGTCCATCACAACATATATACCTAGAACACAATACATAATCAACATGAAAAACAATGGAGACTCCTGTCAAACATATWAGAGCATAGGCTTCTAACTACTTCAAATAGTGCTTACTTTAATTTTTGCTGTTTATATTTATTATTAATACTCCCAGAAAAAAYAGGCATATACAAATACTTCAAATTATCACTTTACCTATTTTGAAGACAACACGTGTGCTTCATTTTAAGCATGTGCATAGGATTAAAATATATTACTCTAACTTTACAACTAYTGTTTGCCTTCTAGCCACAGAAGGAAGCCTGACACCTAAACASCGAAGATGAAGCAAACATATGATTTAAGAAAATTTATTTACTTAAAAAAAAGAAAAAAATTAAACATGCAAGTAAAATAATGTTCATTAGTTTTGAAATACTCTTATTTTGCAACTGAACATTTCAATAAATAGTTGAAATTAACAATAGTTAAACCAAACTATTAACAAATAGTTAAACCAATCATGCGTTTTATGTTTACCTACCATTGATGCTTTTCAGAAAACACTGCAAGTCCCCAGCTGAAAGAAATAAAATTTTCAAAAATTATTTCCATAAGCTCAAGACAGGGACATATTCCTCAAACTGCAGAGATTAATTACCTTTATATAGTCCTTTTAATTTGAAAAAAATAAAATTAAGTTACAAAGTCTAAACGTGTAGTAAAAATCCAGAATAAAGTTGTATGTCTGAGGATGGATTTTGCTCATTTTCTCACAATTGATTCACAGGTAATGAACTTTCTGTTCTGAACAAAGGGTTATAGCAAAGCACTGCAGACGATGGCTGACTACTTGCCCCATTTTTGCTGCGGCTCTGCTTTCTAAATGGTGCTGGAAATAAAACTGCCTGGTAAAGAGTCCTCTACAGTGTGGAAGTCACAGAGGGAAGAGAGATACGCTTGCACTACAAAGCAAAAGAAATCACATRAGTTTATAGGGATTTAATAATAATTGCTAGGGAAACAAAAAGGGAGTGGGTGCACAATGAAGCCTCTGAGGTGAAACAAACAGACCCTTCTGGAGATCCAGATGAGACYTGGTAAACTCTGCTTCTGAAAGTAGACTAAAAATAAACCTCAAGGTAAGAAAACACCTGCAAAGACTAATTTACATAATCTTTTTAYTCCTATGTTGGACTAATCTTCTACTCATTCTGCACTTGAACAAAAAGAACGCCACGCAAAAAAGCCACCAACGTTTTCTTTAACATGGCTAAGCTTTGAAATTCACAGACCTTTTTGGGGTGTTTTGATTTGCCAACTGTAAAGGAAAAGTTCAAGCAGATCTGTTTAAAGGCTACAGCCAACCCAGACTCCCCCTGGGATAAGATCCTATGTGCATTGTCTCAGTATCCCAAAGCTTTGACTGAACAAGAACTGGAAACATCTGAGAAAAMCAGGTGTCATTTTTCACTGCTCTTTTCCTGGGAGATAGTCACTGATGTTTGCAAAGGGCACTGTAGTCTTCAGGTAGAAGAAACATCAAAATAACAAAGATCCTGAAAAAAGRAAGTCCTCTGCTGAACAACAGGGACTGCCACTAAGGGCCACGGTTGGTTTTCTCTTCTCCCTTTTTACTCAGAGCAAGGAAGGTGTGTCCACCAATGACATGCAGGACATACATCACAAAACGAAGCGAGCTAGGAGCGAACATATCCACAAGAGATAATAAATGCACTTTAAATTAAGAAAAGCTAATCAATAAAGTAATTTCCTAGCACAGATGAGTTAACATGGAACATGAAAACAGATATAGGAACAGAACAAATAATATTACAGGGGATAATTTAATTCAGTGCACTGCTATTGGCTTCTTGACTTTTCCTTGTTCCACAATGTTCTAAGCCCCCTTTATTGATGGTACTACAATACTTGTTACAGAGTGTTTATTTCCTTTTCTATTCTTACTTTGTTGGTGGCTTCATTTTCTTTTTCACTCCAAGATAAAGCTTCAGAGAATTGACAGRCAACACTTTTTCAGGTTTGCTGGCCTGCAAATAAAATAAGATCTAATTATTGCAACAGGAATGTGGCAAAGTGGAAATGCCATATGACTGACTTCACAGTTGAGTTTCTTTCAGGGAGGGCACTTTTGAGATCTCYTTTCTAGCAGATCATTAAATTTTTTTTGTCTTTCTTTGCCATTTATAAAGTGTACCAATCACTATTACTGAAAGCAGACTGATTAAGAACTTAAGGTTTACAAGAAATCACAAAACTGTTACACAATTAGAAAAATGAAGATGTGGTGCTTTACATTAATAAAAACTCTTCGAGTGAGACAGGGAAGATGAGAGRTGGGATTGCTCTCTGTTAAAGAACCTCTACTGTGGAATGTTGAGAATTTTCTTCAGAAAATAGAATGGTTTGGGTTGGAAGGGACTTTTAAGACTATCTAGTTCCAATCCCCCTGCAGTCGACAGGAACACCTTTCACTACATCAGGTTGCTCAGAGCCCCATCCAGCCTGGCCTTGAAAACTTCCAGGGTTGGGGCATCCACARGTTCTCTGGGCAATGTGTTCCAGTGCCTCAGCACCCTCATAGTAAAGAATTTTTTCCCTATTATCCAATCTAAACCTACTCTCAGTTTGAAGGCATCTCTCATTGTCCTGTTGCTACATGGCCTTTTAAAACATTSCTCTCCATCTCTCTTGTAGGCTCCTTTCAGGTGTTAGAAGGCCACAAATAGATCTTCCCTAAGCCATCTCTTTTCCAGGCTGAACAAACCCAGCTCTCTYAGTCTTTCCTCATAGGAGACGTGCTCCATCCCTCTCATCAACTTGGTGACCATCCTTGGACTTCAACAGGTCCATGTCCTTCCTRTGCTGGGRMCCCAGAYCTGGACACAGCCCTGCAGGGGGGTCTGAGCAGAGCAGAGCAGAGGGGCACAATCCCCTCCCTGGCCCTGCTGCCCACGGGGCTTTGGCTGCAGCCCAGGACACGTTTGGCTCTCTGGGCTGGGAGAGCTCATGGCTGGGTCATGTCCAGCCTCTCACCCACAGCACCCCCAAATCCTTCTGGGCAGGGCTGCTCCCAGTCTGTTCATCCCCCAGCCTGGGCTGATAACATGAGTTGCCCAGCAMGGTRYGACACCTTGCACTTGATCKTGTTAAACATTCTGAGATTCCCATGGGCCCACTTCTSAAGTCTGTCCAGGCCCTTCTGGATGGCATCCTGTCCCCCAGGTGTGTCAAACACACTACTCAGCTTGGCGTCAACTGCAAATTTGCTGAAGGTGCACTCAACTCCTTTTCCTGTGTCATTAATGAATATATTAATTTTCACAAATCTCAGTAAGTACCCCTGAGGGACACCACTTGTCACTGGTCTCCATTTGGGCTCTGACCACTAGTCTCTGGATGTGACCATCCAACCACTTGCTTATCCGAGAGTCCACTCATCAATTCTATCTCTCGCCAGTTTAGAGAAAAGAATATTGTGGGGGACCATGTCGAAGGCTTTATAGAAGTTCAGATAAATGGCATCCACAATTCTTCCTTTGTCCACTGACATGGTCAATTCACCATAGAAGGCCACTAGGTTGGTCAGGCAGGACTTGCCTTTGGTGAAGTTGTGCTGACTGACTCGACCCTACAATCCCTGGTTTAGCCAGTGCCTCATTCATGACGCCACTGGGGCTGCTAAATCAGGATAAAGAAAGCAAATGAAATCTTCAAACCCAAAGTCTCTGGATAACATATCCTACTATGGGACAGGGRATGGGAAGGGCAGGGCTTTGCTCCTCCTGGTATCTTCAAAAAGGGCAGCCCAGTGAGACAGAAGCAATCCACCAGGTTTCTGGAGGACACCAATATTGGGACCTTTAGAGGAATCTAAACAGGATAAAGAAATGGGCAACAGGAATCTCAGGAAATTTAACAATGATATATGCAAACTCCTGCATASATGAAGGAAAAAACCCTTCAACACCAGAGTGAGAAGCAGTTCTGCTGACAGGGACCTGAGCATGCTGGTAGGTGCCAAGCTGGGCATGAGCCAGCAGTGCACAGGGGCAGCAAAGCTGGTCTCCTTGCCTGACTTAGCAGAAGTGCAGTGACCAGGTGGAGGACAGTGATTCTCCTCCTTTCCTCAATACTTGTGTGACTGCATCTTTGGAGTCCTCAAGAGAAAAAAGAGAATCAATAATCTGGAGAGAGTTCAGCAGGTGCCAAGCCAGCAGGGGGCTGGAGCACTTGCCCTGTGAGGAGAGGCTGACCCAACAGCAGCCCCCCAGCACCTGCAGGGAAGTGCCCAAGCAGACAGAGTGAGGCTCTTTAYATTGTGAGACTACATGTAAAGACAGAAAAACTTCCCCCAATGGGGACAGTCAGGTACTGCAACAGGCTGCCCAGAGAAGTTGCACAATCTTTGTCCTCAGGGTTTTTCAAGACTTAATTGATTACAGCCCTGCACATGTCCTGACCTCAGCTACTATCCCTGCAGGGCACAGAAGAGATGTCAGGAGGTTCCTTCCTTCCTTGTTCCTTCTTGAACAAACTGCCTTTACTGAATCTACAACAGACATACACCCACACCAGGTATGAGAACTGAATGTGACTGGAAGATGAAGTGCTGAAAGAAACAATAAAGTTCTCACGTACACCACTACAGAGCAAAACTAATATTTAACACAACAAAACAACAYTCCCTTAGTACTTTTAGGTCAAGTGTTTTAGCTTTCAATTTAGGAAAAAAAATATACCAAACAACTTGACAAATCTTATAATCCTGGTACACAAAGCTACTCTGTAGTCTTTACYGTCCCTGGATCCTCAATTTCCCACTGTGCAGCTTTCAATCTCTAACACTACAGTRTGGTGAAAAAGAGACACTTAAGAAAACTTAAGAAAACAACAAAACACACAACAGTTTTATGTTTGGTATTCTTGTGTAACTTCCTGCTCAAAAGAAGAGTTCTGCCAGGATGAAAAAATAGCCCTGCAGAATACATTATTAAGTTAAACAACTGCATACTTTTCACAATAATGCACCTTAAGGGAGCCATTTGTCTGTGAGCTTATCTCTTAACAACAGAACATTAAAGGGGTAAATTATTTCAGTCAATTAGCACAATATAGTAATTTAGCATACAGTATTCATGGAAACTTTCAAAGTTTTTGGTAATTGCTCTTGTACAAGAGAAACATCGAACAGAATGTATCTCCACCTGCATTTACAAAGTTAATTTGCTGTTAATGAGAATTTATAAATTAATTAGTACATGCAGTCTTATTAAATACAATTTTCCATCTGCAATGTCAAGCTTTYCTACTATTCATTTCTAAATATGACGAAAATAAAACTAAGATTATGCATGATAGATTAATATCRCTCAAAAGAAAGTAAACAAACTCATATACACTGTTTGATCAGAAGGGTATTTTTGTTTGCTTTTTAAAAAAGAAAAAGTAAAGCCATTTGAAAAATAACAGTGTTCAAAGCTCTACCTGAGTTGGGGAATTCAGTGTTTTATAAATTAGAATGGCTTAAAAAAGGAGATTATAAAGTAGCACAACACTTCTGTCACAAATTCTTTCCAAGATACTAATTAAGGTCTTACGGGAATRTTAATTTATTCTCACATATGTCCACTTTGAGTTTAAGCACTAAATTATAACACACTATTTTTGACATTCCGGGGTCATTCTAATTAAGATTGTATCCACAGCTTCACAAGAAGACACAATGCATTAGCTTGCGTGAACAGGGGATATATATTTTAAAAAGTACTTTATGAAGATCAGCAAGTACACATCTATATTTGCTGGATGATAAAAAACAGCAGTCAGCAAAAGAAAAAAAAAGCACTTGAAACTTTGTTGGGTTTTTTTTGTTTGTTTTTTTTTAAACCAGAAATTATCGGAACTAAAATGAAAACATAGTTCACAATGAATATTACTTGGCTTTATACTTAAATACAAACTGCATAGACTCAAACCCACTGTTAAAGAAAATTCCCATTAAATATTTAAAACTCAGCCCTGTTATTAATTATGACTATATTCACTTCTATGKAATTCTGAGGTATGTCTAACCTAATTATCAATACTGGTTTTTAGAGGACTGAGAATACATCTGAAAACTGTCGTTGGGAAGCAGGAAGAGGTTTTGCTAGTTTATTCAGAGTTATTGTTTCCTATAATCTCTTCTGTCATGAGACTYGTAGGCATAAGAACCCTGTTGCTTGCAATTTTTAAGGACTTTGTGTGAAATACCAAGAAAAGAAAGGCAYGCATTCACTTAAGTTCCATATTACTTCTGCTACTGCTCTCTACAGCAGGTTTTCAAATAACTTAGTGGCAGCACTAAACACCCAAACATTGTTCTATKCTGAATTTTTAAAGCTTATAGTAATGCCTAACTACAATAGCTCAATGACAAAGTTACACAAACTCCTTTTACTAACATGCCTGTGAAACAGCAAGACCAAAACCTTACACCTCAACCCCAGACTCTAGAAGYTGGCCTTTAATATGYGAAATGTTCATCTATTTGCCTTCRTTTYCTTTYTCATACAAAAAAGAAAGCTTAATGAGTACTTCAGAGTTTGGTGGAGAGTTTGTCTGCTGTACCTTCATATCCTTATAGAGAAGCAAGTTTCCTTCCTGTAACACAAAATAACGGTCTTGAAATTTGTTTCCAGACAGTAGTTTTGATGGTTCTTCCTTGCACTTCAGATTGCCTGCTTTCGCGCTACCTTTCTCATTTTTCTCTACCAAGAAAACAAAACAAAAGGAGTTTTTTTAGAAAATTTTGCAACAGTGGAAGTTCCTAGTTTTTAAGTATTATTGTTTATAAAAAAAACCTAAAATGGCACTGATAAGGTTATTGATAAAATTGATAAGGTGTTATGCTATATATTAATAAAAATAATTGAATTAATTATATTTCATACATATATACATATATAAAAACTATATATACATTTCAATACAGATTGYATATAAGCATATATTCATAAGGAAGGCATTTTTAAACATATATATCATTATTTTAATTACTGATGGGAAAAAAAAGTCTTCTCTGTTTCACTTCTATGATAACATAGAAAGACTATGAATATTATTTCATGTTTAAAATAGAATATCAATCTTTATCTACACAATCACAAGTGGGTTTTTTATTTTTTAGTTTCTTTTTTAAACCATACCAAATGACAGTAGCAGGGTACTTCCACCTCTATACCAAATAGAAGATTTAAAATTCCTGCACACAGCTCTCAACGTGATAAAAACTCATTCTAAACTTCACAGCACTCCTATGATAGCAGATCTGCCAAACACTTGATACTTACAAAGATCTTAGAMATGCCAGAAGGAGGAAAAATAATAATTCTCTAAACTGATGAYATTCTGTACTCTTTAGAAGCCAGCATTTCATGAACTAAATCTACAATAATCAGGATGTGYTTTCTAGACACAAACTTTACAAAACATGCTAAACTTGCTAGAACTTTGCAACTAGGAACTAATCCATACAGGATTGATCCACCGATGGTTTAGAAGCTTGTGTTTCAAAGAATATCTCTGAGTAATAGTCCCTGTTCTCAGAAATCAATACTTACCACTCAAATTATACAACACTTGTCTGGTAAAATTTCAATGACCTATATACACACACTTCATAATAAAGCTAACAAATAAATAATATTTGATTTGCTAACAAATAAAACTTTATTATGAGAAGTTTTTGGGTAAAGAGAAGAAAAAGGGTCTTGAATTAAGCTGTCCTATCTCTTATACCAAAATACAATGCACACCTTCTCCTACTGAAGAGCACTTGAACGAGTGCCCCTGCAACAAGCATGAAAAGTTATGGAATAAATTGTTAGGAATGGGCAACTGAATATCTGGAATAAAGTTTAAAATTCACCACAAATTTACTGAAATGTATCAATACAAATAAATTAACACTTTTTTTCCCTTGAAAAGGGAAGTTGTTTTCTGTACAAAGCACACATYTAGACCCCAATACAAGGTTTGGATCACAGAATCACAGAATAGTCTGAGTTGGAAGAGACCCACAGAGTCCAACTCTTGAGTGAATGTCCCATACAAGGATCAAACCCACAACCTTGGTACTAYTGGCATCCTGCTCTTACCAACTGCACTCATCTCAGTTGCAGGACGTGAAAAAGTAGCTAAAAATGGACAAGATRAGAATATGTATAAAAATTAAGAATGTATGTAAGGAAAATGGGAAAAGTTGCACTGATGGAGAAGATTGTAATTAAGTTTCCAAAATGAAATGAAGCTAAAAGAGCTGTTCMTTTGGCTCACTGTTAAACCAACATTATTTCAAAGACCATTAAGGACTCAGGAAGAAAAAGGAGAAAAGTGCTGATAACAAAAAAACTCCCAGGTAATATTAACAGAAAAAAAGGTAAGGAATTTAACAATTTAGTCTTCAAGAGAATTACATAAAGCAGGGAAGCAAGGGATATTCATGGAATTAAATTATAAACATTATATGATCACACTCCTATTAATATTATTGCAAAGTAGGAGGACATCCATCCACCCACCCACCCAGTTGTCCATTTGTATGGGCTGAATTCACTGTAAAAAAATATACTTCAAATCAACATCTGGCCTCAGCCCTATTTCTCAGTGACAAAGAATTATCCACATACAGAGAGTAAAAGACAGAAAAGATTAAGGCCTCCCCTTCTTCTTCAAACTAGCAGTTATTTCTTGTGCACTTTGAGATGAGCCCCACCATAACCACAAATCCCTTGCACCCTAAACACTGGGAACATCCCTTCCCCAGTGACCTCCTTCTCTATATTTTCTCACTCTGAGAGATGGATCTAATGATGGATTCACAGAATTACTCTGCTATGTGGGGTTTGCAGATATCAAGAAAGTAAATCTGCAATATGGCAGAGATTTTCCTTTTCAAACCATTGAGAAAACCAATATAATTTATTTAACAAGGTTTTAATTATTTTAAAACAAACATAAAATGCATCAATAACTGTGAACACAGTCAGACAGTGTGTATAGACTAAGGTCAGACTGAACTGAACTGATACAATTACTATGGGTTGGGAAAACARATGGATGTAAAATGTAGGAGAGAGGAAGGAGTGCAAAGAGTGGCAGATCTCCCCCTTATTACATTTTGTAAATTGACACTGGCCTAATCCTTATGTGTTTCTCAGAGCAGTGATTCTCACCATCCTTATGACCCATTCTCTTTTCTCATTACACCTCAGCACACASCTGGCGAGGTGAGAGGAGTTCATATATCAAGCTTTTAATGAAGTAGGCCATTTCTCTCCATTCATGATCTGCCATTTAGATCACACATTTAGAGACAGTGAAACTCAACCATAAAAGTCATGAACAGCACACTTTTCCAGGTTCATTCATATTTGTGAAATATGCTTTTACAGAAATAAGGCATGGTGAAAGAAGGCTATTACTTTCAGAAGAATAAGCACTATAGCATAAATATTCCTTCTTGAAATCAAGACAAGATATATCAAATGAAAAGATTAACATTTCCAYGTATGAAAAAGAGGAAGAATATATATATTTGAATAAGTCATTAGATAAAAGAAGATGAACATTAAACCAGACATTATTTGTTACCACCATMCATTTTATAGTGATAGCATAAAGGATTTCAGCTGCTTGAAAACAGGACATAATTTCTGAACATCTTAAGTTCCACTTCTCCCAAAACAGATACTACATATTACATAAGTGACTTAAAAACAGATATTATGCARAAAAAAAAAAAAAAAGACAGACTGTGGCAATGTGTAAACTATATATTTTCACTATACATTTGATCTATATTTCAAGTGTCAGCTCCCTTTTAAAGGCCACATACTATCCAAGTTGTTCAGATGCTTGAGTAACTCATTCAAATGAGTCACCTGGGAYGGGGCAACTCTGGATGTACAGACTGGGRAACGAGAGGTTGGAGAGCTGCAGAAAGGGACCTGGGGGTCCTGGCCAATGGCACATTGAACAAGAGGCAGCAGTGCCCTGGCAGCCAAGAGAGCCAGCCCAGTCCTGGGGRCATCAGGCACAGCATCGCCAGCCGGGCAGGGGAGGGGATTGTCCCGCTCTGCTCTGACCTAGGGCGGCCTCACCTCAAGTGTTGGGGGCAGTTTTGGGCATCACAGTGTAAGAAGGATATTAGAGGGCTGGAGATGGTGAAGGTCCTTGAGGGGACGCTGTGTGAGGAGCAGCTGAGGGCTTTTTAGCCTAGAGTAGAGAAGACTGAGTAAAAATTGCAGTAAAAAACTTCCACATGAGGGAAAGCAGAGGGGCAAGCACTGATCTTTTCTCTGTGGTGACCAGTGACAGGATAAGAGAATGCTCTGCAGCTGTATAAGGGAAGTTTAGGTTGGATATCAAGAGAAAGTTCTTCACCCAGAGGGTGGTTGGGCACTGGAGCAGCTCCCCAGCAAAATGGTCCAGCACCAGCCTGAYAGARTTCAAGAAGTGTTCAGACAACTCTTTCAGGCACATGGTGATTCCTGGGGCTGTASTATGCAAGGACAGGAGCTGGACCTTGATGATCCCTCTGGGTCCCTTCCAACTCAGAATATTCTGTGATTCTGTAAAATTAGTTTTGTAGTTTGGAGGCATCAAATTAGATAATAGAAATTGTTATTAGTATACCATAATTATACCAATTAGGATACCAAAATATATACAAATTATATGTTTTAGATAAAAGAGCCGTTTCAAGCTTCACAGCACAAGTTCACAAAGTGTAAACTGACGGCAGAATTTCTGTACACTTTCATATTCCAATGGGAGAGTTTATAGTTTGTAGAAACAAACATCCACAATTCTATATTTTCGTTGGAAGWCAGCACAACCATCTGTAAACCTGTAACTTTTATGAAGCAGCAGTAATTTAGATGTTCTGGGAAACTTTGCTCCACTGAAATAGCTATAAAACAATTGCCATCCTCACATCTCCATGTACAATAAGTAAACAACAAAAAAAACCCAAAAAAACTACATACCACTGTAGATATTCATCATGTCTGCTGTTAGGAATCTCTTTATTATTAAATACGCTGTGCCAGGCTCTGGTAGTGAACTCCAATGAAGAACTTGTTCTAGTACATTCTCTGTATAATGCAGAGGACGTTCTGAAAAATGTCGAAGAAACAAAACATAAAAAACCAGAATTAGAATAAAAGACAAAACCTAACAGTATTGGAGGCACTCACAGGTTACATTTGCCTGTACACCATGCTGCCTCATTGACTTTGAGCTATAGAAGAAAAACACTGCTTTCAAAATAAGACAATTAGACGCTTCATCGGCAATACCTTTGCTGGCAGGGTTTGCACGGGTAAGGAATATAAAATTAAACAAGCAGTAGCCAAATATTCAGTGATTCTTTTGTATTTTTATATTTTTAATATAAAGACATTAAAGCACTGCTTTTAAATCAAATACAATAGTTAGGACCTGTTACAGGGGCATACCTAAACATGATCAAACAGAACTGAGGCCTTCGGCTACATGTACTGGACTATGCTCAGTATGAAAATGAAACATCATTGCTRCCAATTCTCTGCAATCAMAAGAACCAAGAATTTGGAGTGATCACAGTGAAAAAAAATCCCTCCAACTGGTATGGATTATACTGTCTGATATTGATCAAAGCAGACTGAAACAGACTCATGGTTTCATTATATTTTTTTTACCAGAAGGGAGAATCATGTGGTCTTGCTAGATCTTCTCCCTGCTGCTGTCATTAGGGAATTTCCAAACTTGCACCTGTATATTTTAATCTTGTACAAAAAATGCAGCAAGATTAAACTACCAATAGATGAAGGMATGACTAGACTGTATGCGTGCACTCCAAAACTTCAGATGCTCGAACACACGTTTTTGATAGGCATCATCMATCCTGGAAAAAAAACCTCAGACCTAGCACAGAATCAAAAAACTAAAGTGATAAGAAAGTCCAGCCAGCACTCCATACAAACCCTTTAAGCAACGAAGGCAGAAAAGATCTTGCAAATAGACCCTAAATCTGATTACCAGATCCAGCAGAAATCTGAGTGTGACATTGTCAGCACATCCTGAGGCAACATTGAGGTGAATGGGAGAAGCACTCAAACCCCTGAAGCCTTTCACCTGCTCAGCAGCAAGCACCCACTGCAATTCATGAAAACACAAAAGCCCTAAACATGGCTTTGTGGGTTCAAATGTCATTTTATCTCCACAGAGAGATTTTTCCAAAAGATTGAAGTTCTCATTTGCCTATTAATGGCTGTGGGTCAGGCATTAAGAAGAGCTGGGTATGGCTCCTGAAAAGTCACACTTGTGTAACAATGTCATGTTGGGTCTCGCAGTCTAGCCACATCCCTTGAGCACTGAAGGGCAAAGCCATAATCTCATTTTTCATTCCTGCTGTGGTAGATGAATATGAAATGTCAACAGCTGCTTTGGGACTGTCCAGCACTACTGTCTAGCAGAATGTATTTTCCTCAACACCTGAACACCAGAGCCTCAGAAAGCAGCAGCCACAAATAACACACTTAAGTGACAGAAAAAAACCCCACACTATTTTGGGATGCAAAAAAACCTACCCTACCCATAGAGTTGTAACACCACCCATATAAATATTTCATTSTTCAGACATGACACCAAAGCAGCCTAGCAAGAGTTGCATTCAGTAGATAGCAGCTCAACTCATATTTTRTAACACCATTTCTTCTGGCCCTTTTTTTTAAATGGTCAAACTTCTAAAGTTTTGTGAAACCGTGGACTCTGATGTGATAAAGCTTGCACACTTGATGCCTTTGTACAAGACAGAAAATCCACTTTAAGGAGAAGAACTTTACAAATCAAAGGCAGGAGACTGGCAAATCACCACACTTTCCTAGAACACCAGCACTCCCACAGTAAACACCTACTGTTTTATTTATAGGTGCATTTAGGACCATCTGTCATCATGGATTACACGGTGCATAAATCATCATGCTGAAAACCATTAGCTATTTTAYTGGTAACACACCTCATTTACAACTATCCATCAATCACATATTATTAACAAAAAAAATACACACCTTATTTTGTAAAAGCATATGGTATGGAATACTCTGYATTAGGTTAGATAAAATCATCAATTATTCCAACTTTTCTATATGCAAATAATTTTGCTAGTTTTTTTTAAAATTGCAATTTTAGCATTTTGAACAGCAAGCAGTCAACACATACTTTCAATTACCCTTTCTTTCACTTAGGTCATCATATGCTAGTAAATATCCTAAACCAGTMATTTTCACCTTAAACAACATTAACTATTGGTACAAAATTACTTTCTAGAAAAYATGGTTCTAATTTTCTTGCCATCTCAGGGTTTGTTTTCAGGGCAGTGTATCTTAAAAAATAAAGTAAGTCTTATAAAAACTCAGGATTAAGTGTAGAAACAGAATACCACCATCCACTGAACACGTAGCAGACCATGGCAGGAAAAAAAAAAAAAGCAGARAATCAGTTTTTTCAGAAATATGCTGTGATTACTAATGTACATTTGAAACAAATACACAAACATTTTTTCTGTCAACATGTATGAGAATCTCAACTAACTTGTAAATGCCTGGTGTTTGTCAAATGACACTAGTAGAATAAACTTGCAGTAGCAAAGACTAATGTAGTCTTTTAGTTCTTCAGTGTCCCATTTGGACCAAAGACTGCATAGAACTAATTTCCTCTGTGTTTCCAGCCTCTGAAAACCTGCTAGATTCAGCCACAGCACCACACGAGTCTACCTGAGTGTTCCTTACTACAACATTCTTTTTATTTTGAAACAATAATCCCCCTATTCTGATGCACTGATTCTTCCACAAAGGGGTCCATGAAGAAGRTATTTCATCAATACAGTCCCTACTRGCAGGAGTCAGGTGATGGATTAGGACTTAATTTACTTTTCTTTTTGCTTGTTTGTTTTGGATTTAAAAGACTGGTATGCCATTCCCATTTTTTTGTTGGAAACCCTTGTTTCAGGAGGATACACTCTACTCTCTTGACAATACCTTTTGTCTTAGGTAGGGCCTGTAGTGTCTCAGCTTAATTGTGTTTGTCTTCCATAGTCATTAGCACATACAACATTCCTATACCCTACTAAAATATTAGCTSTTGCACCCAAATACCTCAAGAAGTTGTTGTGGGGCCTATTTATTTATTTTTGTGTTCTCTTAGGCATATCTAGTTTAGTCTTCACGTTCCTGTAAGCATCCATATCAAGTTTAAGAAAATAAAATTCTTTTTTTTTTCTGTAATTCAGTCAAAATAAATATGATTTGTACTGTATTTGTAGGGATTATCAGGACTCCTCTAAAGATAACAGACTGTCAGTTCATTGTCACTTGTCACCCATACCTATGAATCTGGAAATGAACTGTGTATTACAGCTCTATACAGCATCACTGACAGACTGCAAGACATGAAAAGGGCTAGGGATAATTTATTTTAAGTTGAAGGGAGAATACATTTCCATTTTAGTTTTCTATACTGCCAAGCTYAAGAGTGAGTACATAAGTAATATTAGTAAAATTGAAGGAATTATTATAAGCACATCTGAAAATTAAGTACAACGCAACTATTTGACCAATACTGGAACAATATTTAGTAATCTTATTTTGTCCATTTTCTTTTTTTTTCCTTGACTTGAAAACAGGTATCTTCACTATAGAAATAAGCAAGTCCACAGTCCCCTCTGTAACATGAGAATAGCTACAAGCAGCAACTTACTAGAAAATGCAAATGGATGTTGCATATTTTTGTCCCCACATATTCTTAAAAAATCAAATCACCTTATGGAATAGTCATCAAAATACATTTAAACTTAAAAAATCCCTATTTATGCTATTTTAGGCATCTCTAGCAGTAAAATCCTCYAACATATTACACATGCTCCAGCATGTATAAAGCACTCTCAATGTTAAAACCTCTGTACAGTTCATGAATATTGAGACCATGTGATATTTGCTTTTGTTGGCAGCAGAACTATATTTCAAACAAATTTTACAGGTTTCTGCTAGATACACCATAAATGCCACTTGCCACAAACACAGAATTACACACTTTCTGCCTTGCTTTTTCACCTACATACATTAAATAATTGACTAAATAAAATACAAAATATCCTTTCTCCTAAGTATTACATGTATTTTATAATTTAATTTTTTGAAAAGCATTATTGCTTATAAAATCAAGGGCTGACATTCTAGTGAAAATAAGTCTTCCCCTAGACTTTCAGTAAGACCTACTTTTCTATAGCTGATGATTAATGAACTGTGAAGCACTGTAATATAAAGAACATATTTTCAGCCCCTGATTCATAAGCAGTTTACAACAATTCATCACATTATTTCTGGCAAAGTGTAGGAAGAAATCATACAGATGCCACAACAACCAAATGCAAAATATTTTCATGAAGGGTTATTTTTGTTTCCATAAAGTCTTTAACYAAGCTTCTGATGATATTAAGTATTGAAAAATTAAAATAATAAAAGTAGATTGACATGCACAAATTTAAGTGTCACTAACCTAGTTCTCCATTTTCAAGTACTTCAAAGGCAGCCCAGATATCATCTTTGCTGGGAATAATGTTTTTGATTCCTAAAACATCATTAGTTAATTCCTCTGCTTCCATCAAAGGTGATACCTGTAATACAAATTGAGTCAGTTCATAATACATTTCAATTACTGATTGCTGATACATATTTTCAAAGTCTTCCAGCAATTGCCTTAAGAAGAAAAAAAAAAAAAAGAAAAGGCAACAAAAAGGCAGCAGTAAATACATGAGCTGGAAACCCATAAAGTATCTATCAGATTCCAGCAGGCTTTCCTTTTTTGTTCCATGAGATTGAAGTTATATTTTTAAGCTGGCTGATAACTTGGTAGTTTTAAATGCCTTTTCTCTACTCCAGAAAAATTTGGAAAAAAAATCACCTTCATATATTTTCTTGGGTGTGGGAAGATAAATATTAGAGAAGGAAAATTCCTTTCTTCTAAAAAATCCTAGCAATACATATTCCCATTTTTATTTCTATTTTAAAGAGCAAGTCTTATGTGCATGTATGTATTTATAAACACCAATTCACTGCATACTTGCTAATGTTCTCGTGTGTTGCACACGTAGAGTTGTGAGAATTTATACCCCTGTATACTACAGGAAAACTGAAGCAGGACATCTCCCCTTTAAAATTGTATCATAACATTTTTCTTAAAAATGCAAAAATGTTATGTAAATGCCTTTACATAATTTAGGCAACACAGTAAATTTTAAAATAAAGTATTTAAAAKAATAGTGATAAACATGAATTCGTACTTTTATTGAGTACTTACATAAAAACATGTATTTAAATAAAATTTTATATACTTCACGAGAAAGAGTTTGATAAAATCACTGCATCATTTTTATACACTAACCCTGATTATAATACTACAGTCTGGCTCCTTTCTTTCCACATAAACTTCAATAAGCAAATCTCCAGCCTGGGAAACCTAAAATAAAATAAAATAAAATTAAAAAAAAAAAATTAGATCATCTTAAAAGTATTTTGTTTCCTTTTAAATAAGAAAAGTACAATTATTTCCTTTTATTTGACTAGTGTAAGAAAAAAAAATACCTATTCACAAATTCAGGAGAAAAATCCAAACCCTGAATAAATTCAACAGAATCATATCAAACTAAATGAACACAATTTACAAATATATATTCAAGAGCAGGAAAACTAAGGGAGACATGAAATAAGTGGAARTTTTAAATTTAAGACTACCAAGTCTAAGACATGAGTGCATCTCAGTACCTTAAACTGCAGAACCCTAACTCTGATTTAGCCATTAGTCAGATTCACTTCAGAATAAAAACAGATGAATAGAATTAAAAATAATGAAAAAGTACTGTAATCTCAAACCAACGAGTATTTCAGCCATAAGCCACATGTATACACAACAAAAAAAAAATACCAAATACTGCATCTGTGATTCTTAATCACAATTAAAACTTATCAYAACATAATTAAAGAAGGAATCAAAACTAATGCACTTGGTTTGAACCTGTATTAAATATAGCTCTTTTTTATTGGAGAGAAGGCTAAACTTTATYCTACATTAGCATTGTATGTAATCAGATTAAGCAAATTTATGACAAATATAATAGTTTCATATACTCAATACYAACAAATGTTATTTAAGAATGTCTAACAACATAAAACTTAGAAAGAAATTACACAGGCAGTAAATCCAATATTTTATGATCATGGGGAAAAGTATGATTTATGAGAAAGAATSTAATATTTTCCATTGTAACTAGGTTTGCTCATCTATGGCAATRAAATTATCTTCATGAATGAGAAATTGTCTCACACTTTTCCTGCTCTAATTCCCTTGTAGTTTAGTCATAAGCATGTTCAAAAGATTGTAATTCATCTCAGTCCAATACCAAAAATATTTTCTAAACAATAAGTGCCCAGTGATGATCAGAGCATAGGAAGGAAAATTAAAGCAGAAACAGGGACCTATCAGGAGGTCTACCATTCTGTTAATAGGCAAACATAAAGAATTAATAATCAAATTAACACTAAAATAACAATTTGTATCTTCATTTTTGAGAATGGTATTGATAGTGATGCTACTTATTTATATATTACTACAATCGAGGTAAAGAAAAGTATATAGAAATAGTTTATACATATATATACATATATATATAAATATATATATATTTTTTCATATATATTTATATATATATGTAAGCATTGAGCTTTGAGATTGGTCAAAATCTATCTATAGAAGCTATGATTACATTTCTATAAAAAATTACTGGCAGTGCTGAATTTTAAAGAACATTAACATTCTGAAAAATAGCAACTTTTAAGTTAGTTTAGCCTTTGAGGACAGAAAACTAGTGGAAACATTTGCGGGGAAAAACATTACAAAGCTGCTTTGAAGAAAGCTGTTTAATTATAGTGGCACAGACTCAAAAAAGCTCATTTAGTTATAAAATTTGCTTTTCAGATGATATTACAGAAAAAGGTTGGAAATAAGAATGAAGCTGACACATGATTTCCACTGGGCTCATGTAAACAACCGTATGGAGAGAAAATGTGATGTAAATTACTGCAACAGCTGGCATAAGTATATGGTGGACAGAAAATGAAAAGCGACTAATGAAGTGCCACCTGGAACAGAACTTCAGTGACATTTCAGACATATGAACTTCAAGTAACTCAGCAGAAATTCAGTTCAGTTTTTCTCTGAACATTCTGCATTCCCACTGTGGCAACCTATATATTCTAAAGTATTTAGTATCTACATCACTGATTTTCCCACATATCTGCACATATTTTGATGCAATGATGTTGACTATCAGTTGTTAAGCGTAGAGAATTCTTACAATTCTTGATTGTAGCTGCTTGAGGCCTACTTTGTCAATTACCCATTATGCAAGAACAGGTAACCACTTACATTTGAATAAAGTCTCACCTCTACTTCTCCTGAAAGTACAAATTTGATATCTGGAATTCTCCATTTGAGAGGATGAGAATACCCTCAAATACCCTAAAATCCCTCTTCAGGGACAAGCTGACAGTCTTGCTCCTCTCTTCTCGAAAGCAGGGATACCTTTTTAGTAAGATTTGCACCTCTGACTGTATCAGAGCATATCTGTATGGCTTTTATAATGGTGAAGTTAAGATTAGTGCAAAGCTGGATTTGTTAATTTACACTGAAGTTAATTTACTTAGTTTAGTTAATCATTGGCCAGCCTTAGTATATTTAGTGTTGATGTAGTAAGTGYATTTATCAACAGAAATTTCAAATCTGCATTTCCATTGCTTCAATAAACCACACAATTCTTGAATCTGTGATCATGAAAGTTCTTAGCCCGTAAAACATAAAGTGTAGCCATCCATAAAATCTAGTATTCTGAAATTATGGGTAATATGCACTATATAGTCATGACAGAAGATATAATTATAAAATATAACAGAGAGGATGGTCAACCTTTTTCAAAAGCATTTAGTATTAGTCCAGGTCTGGTTCTAATGTATTCYCACTGCAAAACCTACTGATGACACCACTCAGAGAAATGTTGAATTCTTCTAGAGAAGCAGTTGTACATAAAATCTTCTAACATACTTTTAACCACCTTAGAAGGAACTTCTTTAATCACTAGGCTTCAGGCAGTAAATACTTTGAAATAATACAAAGCACTCCCTTCTGCCATRAAGTGGTACAAGGCATTAGACATCAATGCATTTTGCATATTATGTGCATTTGGAGTTTCAGAAAAGTGCTCACAGTCACAATCAAATTGCCACAAATGCCARTCAGGCTCTTCAAGACGTCATTTCTTAGCCATTATTTCAAGGGCAATAGGTTGCCATAACAGAGAGAATGAAGTCCTCATCCTTAAAAGCACTTCACACTTCATTAACCAAAAAATGGCAGAATTTTTGTCCCAATATCCRTAAGTTGTTTAGAAAGCTAAAAAGAAAAAGGCCATTCTCTCTGGTGCAAGTGGTCCCAAATAACTTATGGTCTCCTCAGATAATATTTGCTATCTGGTGGCTCTTTTTMCCAGGAAATGCCATACAGTAGAGATAACCATGATTTGATAAAGCTGGGAAATCCATCTTAACCAGACTTACAGGTCTTACAGTGGTTGGAAGTCTAGTAACATAAATTCAGATTGGAGATTAGGAAAAGACTCTTCATAAGAGGGTGATCAGTCACTGGAACAGGCTCCTCAGGGAAGTGGTCATGGCATCAAGGCTGTCATGTTTCAAGAAGCATCTGGGCAATGTCATCATATGGCTCAATTTTATGTGGTGGTGGGAGATTCAGGGAGCTGGAACTGGGTGATCTTTATGGGTCCCTTACAAACTGAGATATGATTCTATGATATTTCTGTGATTAGGCGTCAGATTTCGCTTCMTTTAAAAGTGTTTTTTGTAAAGATTGTTAAGCTTACTTTTGTGTGCTATAAGATCAAGCCAGGGTCTGTTAACATAGTAGGTGTTATCATCCATTCAGAAAGCTGATTATAAATGCTGGAGACTTTGCTGAGAGCGACATAAGAACAGTTAAAATTCAAGCTCAATCTTTCTATAATTCCTCCTCTCAACAATCACAAGAGTCCCAGGGAAACCCATCCAAACAAGCCAAATTAATAATGAAGGTCCCAATTTGATTATAAAGTTTAAAAWGGGAAAGACTAGCTTTGTAGGTGCTAGAAGGTTTTCAATAAAAGCCTTACCAATTTTAGAAAGCCTAGTCTTCATTAAAAAACAAAAAAACAAAAGTAAGTCTCTCTTCSTTCAATAGGCAGCCTTCTAAATATAAAACACCTCATAAAGGYGATTTCACAGTGGCATCTGAGGTGAAAGATACAGAAGAAACCAACTTTGTTTTTTCTCTATATTCTTCACAGCTTCAGTTTTCAAAAAAACAGTGTAGCCAGCAGTTGCTACTATATTATTGAATCCATCAACGGCCTTTCATTTTYCTTTCCAATTTTTTCTCGGACCTAATCAAAACACCTCCACTGTCTGCTTCCCTACTCATGAAACTGMTCTCATATCTCCCTAATTTTTCCAGAAGGTATTACAAACATTTAATCATTATAGGTTCTCAGAGTTTCTTGGAAAATGTTAATAGCGTAATAAGCTTTAAAAAGCATTTTTTTTCTTTTGTTCCAAAACTACAGAAAAGTATGAAGTGGTGATYTGCAGCCATCTTGGCCACAGCGATCTCAAAGTGAGAGGAATCAATGACTTGCAAGGCACCACAAAACTCTGGTTGGAAGAGGGAAGGCACCCAACAAACAAAGCATTATAGATTTTCTCTTGTAGMTTTCTCTCCTTTTCTAAAGTCCTATAAGATCCAAAATCACTGAAAYCTTCTCCACTACTTTCAAGTTCTGAAAAAGTTTTTAAGTTCTCTATATCTCATTTTACCTCTCCTAGCTCAACCACCTCGGTAGCATTATGAAGTTTAGTGATTTTGGCTTTAATTAGGATTGAATGGCATACACAAATGYCATTCAGACAGTGAAACATGCTGTCACTCTGCTATTTCTTACAACTCTGAAATTGTTCAGAAGCTGTCACAGGTAGAACTGGAATTGAAGATGATAATATGTGGTATAAGATCTCCCATTTTTTAATTTGTGTCCTGAAGKTCAATTTGACTGTGAGCATGTGTCTGTAGCTTCCCCAAATAATATTTGTGTTTTGGGTTCTAGAAATGGTCACAAAACAGGAGTCGGGTAAAGATTAATATGATTTAAACTCAAACGGATAGTGAAACTCCAATGAAGAGAGAACATGTATACTCAAAGCTCATGAAATAATAAAAGCTAATATACACTTAGAGGTGTTGAATACACTTTTAAAATATTAAGAAAAGACAAATCATAACTTGCAACTGTTCACAATTTTCTTCTAATRCAATTTATGAAGCCTAGTAAAAGCACACATCAACCTGTAAATTAGCGCAGTGCTCAGGCCAGAATATAATTCCACAGGATGCTTTAAAAAGAACTGGTTTACTTTTAGCACTTTATGCCTTCTCAATTTCATTTTATTTCCCTGATCTCTGTAGTTAACCACATTGATCACAATAAAAACTTACACATTTACTTCTAGAAATCTAGGCATAAAAACTTGTAAAATAASAAAACAGTCTTTGTTAAAATTATTATCACACCAGTTGGTATTTTTCACTTGCCTGAGTGTCTTTCCACTTTGTAATAAAGCTGTTCTCTATATCCATTTGTTTGACTTGATCTTCATTTATCTGTTTAAAATAAATAATTTTTTAGCAATTAACAACAATTACTGCAACAATTGCCAATACTGTCAATCATGTTCTTATAGAAGCATGAGTGAAAAACATTCTATCAGTTAGAAACAGCTCTTCATTGATGGGATTCATAATTAGACATTTCATGAAATACATATTAAAACAGAGAGGAATCAACAAGAAACTGCGAAACTATACTGGCACAGTTAACTCTAAATCAAAATGGCTAATACAAATTGCTGAAAGAAGTAGCTTTTCTAAACAGTTKGATTTAACATTATTTCTGGGTCTAAGGAAAAAAAACACATTGTAATCACAGTTCAGAGACTAAGAACACAAAATCCTTCCATGCTTCAGTTCTGATCAGGCTCTTAAAATTTGATTAGAAGCATTATTTTTAATAGTCATAATCATAATTTTTTGTTAAATTTAGTAAGCTTTTGATGACAAGGAGAATGAGCACCATTTTGGAAAAGAGTAGCTCATAGTGTCCCATAAATACAGTCTTTTCTACAGGTTAAGCTAGCTGGGAAATAAAATTTAAAGCAGGCCAAGACAAACATCCACATAATTTTGAATTCAAGTTCAAAATCCATGCAAATCCTCAGACCACGGAACTAATAGCAATATCATTTTTAAGCTGATTTTTATATGTTTSAATCTCTAACATCTGACCAGTAGGATACATTAATAGAAAGATACCTACATGAAAAAGTTGCACATAATTTTTAATTAGATCTTCAATTACATTCACTTCTTCACTAGTTTGGCCATTAGTTTGAAATAAGCATGAGGAAAACACCATGGCTAAATTGTGAGGGTTCATATGATTAATTTCAGAACACTTCTGCACCCTGTTGAAGAAAAAATAAACATTTTTAGCCAGTTTCACTGTTACTTTAATTGTCTGAGGCTCCTTTACAGAATATGGAGTYCATTTTAAAAAAGGTAACTATATTAAATGCAATAAAACATGTACTATTATTTCTTTATTTATTTATATATATTCTTCATTCTTCATTAAAGAAAYGGAAAACTTTCTAACTGCATTTCAAGTTACATCAAAACCAGAATAGAATACTTGAGTCAGAGGAGACCTATTATGATCATCTAGTCCAACTGCTCGATCACTTAAGGGCTGACCAAAAACTAAAGCATGTTGCCAAGGGTACTGCCCAAAAGCAGTGAGAGGCTTGGGTCATCCACCCTCCCTCTAAAAAGCTTGTTATAATGTTTAACCATCATCTCAGTAAGGAAATGCTTCCTAATGCCAAGCTTGTACTCCTCTGGACACAGTGTTGAACCATTTCCACACACCCTACAACCAGGGAGAAGAGATCAACACCTCCCTCTTYACTCCCCTCCTCAGGAAGCKGTACAGAGCACTGAGATCACCCCTCAGCCTCCTTTTTTCTGAAGCAGACRAGCCCAGAGTCCTCAGCCGCTCCCCACAGGCTACACCTTCCAGCCYTTTCACCAGCATTGCTCCTTCCTTCCTTCCTGTATGGAAAGATCTGAACATCCTTAAATTGCAGACCCCAAGAATTGTACACAGAGCTTCAGGTGAAGCCAAACCAATGCAAAATACARTTTCACTATATTATGCAATGTAAGTATATACAAACCTATGATCTAAGACCAAACAAAATGTGGAAAGAAATTAGATCCTTCTCAATCCTATCCCTAWGGTAAAGTTTTCATATCAGTTCTGTTGTTCACATAACATGTCCTTTTTTAGAGGCAAACACTTTAAAGTACCRCAGAATTTTGGCCATTAAACACATGAATTCAAACTGTTTTCAGAACAGATGCAAGACATATTAATATCTCTAATGGATATGTTTAGAAACTTCTTAAACATAACACGTGTTATCTCAATATTGGCACCAATCAATTTCATAACCGTATAAATGTTTTTAATAACATCTGCTATGTACTTGGCTATGTAACATAATTTCTGAACAAAATGTCCTGTGAAGAGAAGTTTCTACACATTCTATACTCGATGCAATTCACTAAAAATATAATTTGATTTGTTAAAGATGATATAATATAGACTAGTATTATTTAACCATGATACCTCAGAACCATTGTGTCACATATTTTTTACATATTTTCTGCCCCTTATTTGATTGAGGAATAGGTCATGAACTTTGGTGCTTAAACAAGTTTGTATTTTGGATATTCTCCACAACTACCACAGTTGCAGAATGAAGCACTGATAAAAAACCAGAGAGAGYAGGTAATTCTCAAAGTTATTATGTGCAAAACAGATTGTGGAGAAGGACATTTTCACTGAAAAAAAAATTTAATTTCAAGAACCATTTGCAACAATCCTCTGGAAGACTAGCAGACTGGAGTAAAATGAGATTGCATAAAAAAGCTACACCAAAAATTACCCTACTTGGACACATAGACCAGCAGCCTTCTCTCCCTGTAAGGAKGTTGCAATCCATTGATTTTTATAGATACCTACTGCTAAAAATACAACCAAAGGAAAAACTCATTATCAATTAAAGGAATTCAAAAGTAATTRATAGCTGCAACTAGATAAGCTTTTGTGATTAGTAGTTAATGAAACAAACCACATTTCATATATTGTGGAGTTATACTGAGAACACATTATAAGAATTTCTCTGCTACAATGCATTATTTGCAATGACCTGTAAAGATGTTCAATTAAAGCAGCCAGAGTTGCTCTATTGACTGGTGGAAGACTCCGAATAAAAGCTCTGTACTTCCTCACACGTTCCTTTTCATTCTGTGTATCTGCCAGAAAATAACAATCATTGAGCATTAATAACATTGCACACTAAAACCCAACAGCAGTTCTCATTTACTCTATCACCATCATCTAGTCTTTTAAAATTACTATTTACCCAATCAACCTCTTCTTCATAAAGACAATGCTAAAAATATACTATTAAAAAAGTCTATTATTGTACACCAGTTCAGGGAAACAGCAATAAAGAGGGACAATTCTGTATTCGAGCACCATTTGCTACCGTTTAAGACTGAAGCCCAGAATAGCAATTGCTTTTCCTCTCAAAGCATATTTAATCTGTAGTTTGTGCATGTACATGCGTGAGTGCAACTGCGTATGCACAAGTGCAAATGTACTTCTAAGAGTTCCCAGAAATGAGAAAGAAAAAGACCTTCTCAAATTTTAAATTTTTACTGGAAAAGTGGCACAAGGTAAAAATCCAAGTATATATAAGACTGATTAGAGGAGAGCAAAGGGAAAGGGCTGGTAAATAAATTGTACCAAGTTATATATGGCTGAACAAGGGCAGGGCTAATGGCAGGAATTCTGGTTTTGGAAATGRCAGTATCTGAGACACAGACACTTCAAGCTAAGTCTGCCCCCCTGTGCTGCTTATCCCCCCTTATGCTCAGAGCATAGGCCAAGTTMATGTAGATTGTATTTAGTTATCTAAATACAGGACCTGCTCAGTCCCTYGCTTCTCTCAAGTTTCTGAAAAGGAAATTTCTCACAGCTGATTGATGGTGCTCTCCACTAACTACTGAATACGTTCTGACTTCTTTGGAAGCAAYTGGAAGAAAAAATAAGCAACTAAACAACAAAATAACAGTTTAAAAGTCTTCTTTTTCCTAAATGTTTTAGTTTTCCYAGAAGTACTTTCTGTATCACCTAAGAGGACAGGACTCTTTGCTGAAGAATCTGAAGTAGAATTTTAGCCCCAAGTATATATCAGGAAGGGGAATCACTGTAACYCCATTAAAAAGAGCTGACTTAAATCTAAACTGCCTCAGAACTTTTTTCCTGGTTTCTGATGAGATTAATCATGTGGAAAGTGAATAAATATTTAATAYTTGTTCCTCTAGTTTCTTCAAATTAAGGTTTAAGATAAAAAATGTGYAATATTAATAATACTTAAATTTCCTGAAAGTCTAGCAGCTCATATTAAAGCAACCTCCACATAACTGAACTTAAGCAAAATCAGAGAGGAATATGACTTTAATATCTTCTTTTAAAGACAACTCACCACATAGTAAATGTGCTATGTGACTTCTATGCATTAATGTAGAAATTAATGTTCTGTCAGCTTTTCCTATGCATCTTATTGCTGTGCCACAACTGCAATTTTATAGCTCAGTTTGGCAGGGAAACCACTYGTTTCCTGCAGCTTGCAAATACTGCAATATAGAAACAAATAGAAATATAGATATTCTGACAGAACATTATGAAAATCATCACTATTTTTATAAAGAGTCATCATTGCATTAGYAATCTCACAGTTCTATTTTTAACCATACAGAGATACACATCCTCATGTTTTAAATACATATCCATCTCCAGTGAAAGGAAGTTACTTAAACTTTCTTTCAAATTAAATTAATATTCCTTAGGGAAAAAAAACCCAAGTAACAGTAGTTAACAAGTTTACATTGTACTGCATATAAGTTTCTTGTTCATAAAAGATACATGAAAAATCTAAGCAGCAAGGCTGTCATTTAACTGTTGATGAYAGCATCAATGTTTTGTCAGTTTTGAACTACACATGGTCAAAAGAGAGTACACACTTTTTCCCTAACATATATCTGTTTCTTCAATTCGACCTTAAATGCTTCTATAAAATGTAAATCATCACCTTTTACTTTGGCTGTTCCAAATATGACACAGTAAAATATTGATCTACTGTTTACAAATATATTGTCTGGGAAATATATATATTTGTTCTTATTATTCTGCTTCACTTAAAGGCAATGAATCATCTCTGATTAACATAGGCCTATTGCAGCCCWAATATTTTTTCCTCACTACACTTGTTTTGCCAATTATGAAATAACATAGGTTGACACAGGGCAAGTAAATTAACAACACCCTCAAATCTGATACTGAAAATGTATATATAACCTTTTTTTGTATTGAATGTTATTGAATACATTACCCAATGCAGAGATCCAGAATGGATAAAGTTCTTTAGTGAGAAGTGCATCATCTATTTGASAAAGAAAACTTTTCAGTACATCAGTCACATCTTCAAGCTGATGTTTTCCTGCTCTTAGTTTAACACTTCTTGCATCTTTTTTGAAGTTTTCCAGCAGTTCAGCCACATTAGAGGAATCACCATTCTTAAGATAGATTTGCTTGCTACCTAAACCTAAGACAAAGAAATACAGGACAGAAAAATAAATGAATGTAAAATCAAATATTCTTTTAAAAATTCCAGATATCATTATATGAAAACCATATGTGGCTGCCAAACACACTGCATTTCCTAATAAAATCCCTCTGACCTTTTACACACACTCACCTTGTTAGTAAAAATACTGCCAAGYCTTTTACACCCAACTAGACCTCTTTGCAAAAATACGCATCATAATAGCAAGCAAGCCCGGGATCACAATTTCAGGAGTATTTTACAGGAAATTCAAATCCCCAAATCTCCTCAGGACTTCCAAAACCAGAACTTTCAAAAGGCACAGTAAAGAGAAGAAGTTTTGATGATAGGTATTATATTACATATAAACCACAGATGTTTTAATGAGYAAAACTCCTTTTATTTTATTATTCTACTGATGAACTCGGCTTAAGACTCAAGGTATTATTGCATTCATCCAACCTAAAATATTTTACTCTTAAAAGCCTCAAGATTAATARAAAATATCCTTTTTTCTGATTTTTCTCATGTTCTGGAAGACATTGGTCAGCCACAATTCTTGTTTGCAACAGCTAAAACCATTAAAGTCAACTTAAAAAGAAAATGTAGAGTTTAAAACAAAGTCATGACTACCTACAATCACTGTATATGTGATTGTAGTCAAAACTGTTGTTTTTTTAAAACTTGTRTAAGTTTGGCATAGATGTGCAGTCCAATTCAACATTGTAGAAGTGTTTTCTGCATTCACATTYCTTGAAAGAGGCTGATACTTTAGACAAAACCCTGCTTTTTTACATACCTGTCAAATTAAGTACTTTGTCAAAACCTATGAAATCATGTCTAATGTTTTTACATTCACCTTTCCTGTARTGCCCATAAGCACTCTGAGCCAATACTTTTTGTTATTTCTGTCAGAAACTGGCCTGGAAGGCAGAAACATTTGTCTTCTGTAGATTACAGCTTAAGACAGAACCTTTACAATGATGATACAAAAAGATGAACGCAAGCAAGTACTGCATACAAATAATTGCTTCAGTTTTCAAAGGATCATTTTAACAGCCACTAATGCTGATCCTGAAAAGCATATTTATGATGAAGATCTAACAGATTTAAAAGACATTAGGAAATTGCATTTTAATTTAGACTACACAAATTGTTCCAAGTGGCAGACATAATTATCCTGCTTTAACCATTCWGTGCATGAAATGGTGTAAACTATACTTGGAATAATTTTTATTACTAACGGTTAAAAAATAATTTAGCAAAAACTTCCTTTTCTTAGTTTCAGACACTAGTTGCAACCCTGATACAACTATTTACAATAATGCAGTGTTGCCATTTTCCAATGTTATTTAGTTAAATTTCAATTACTCAAATAGAAATTAGGTGTTCTCATACTGACAGAGGTTACAGACGCATTTATCCCAAAGACAGATTTGTACAGGGTTCATATGCACGTAGCCTCTCACAAGAAAACTCATGAATTTGTAGTAGTAAAAGGACAYAAGTATCATCTGCATACGACCTACTGCCATGGAAAGCTATGCTGTCAAAATTTACTTAAATAAATGGTAACTGACTATACAACCTTAGGCTATTTCACAGAAAAAACAGCAGCCTAAGACCACACTCAACTCCTCAGTTAATACCAGCTTCCAAGAAGATGTGCTAAGGCCATAGCTTTTCCAGGTTTACAGAGTTTATTTTCTGGGTTRAGTTGTCTGCACTGGGGCACTGGACCCAAAGGCTGAGTTTCATAAAGCAAACAATGCAATATTTAAAATAGAAAGGTGTCTATAAAGGGCATTTATCAARTTGTATTTCCCCAAACTGGCCATTCTCAGATGTATGGCAGTGCCCTGCACCATCTCATCAAAGAGTGGCAAGGCTAACAGGGGGCAGGGGTTTACTTTAAGCAATATATAGCCTCATTCAACAGAATCTGATACTGGGGGTGCTTAGGTATCATATAAATGATCTTATGTTGAATAAAATCCACTATACTTACCGTACTGTGTAACAAATGCTATGCAGCTGTTCACTATAATRGGAACATCATTTTTGCTGAGCTGCTGATCTTGTAATGCATTACCATCTGTACCTGCTGCTTTTTCAATTGCAGTATACCAGACCATGAAATCCAGCCTTGTATGGCCATGGATGTATAGCGTTCTGAAAGGTATAAAAATACTTTGAATTCAGGAAAGAAATAAAATAAATAATGTTGTACCACAGCAACAAAGCAAATATCCAGGGAGAAGAGGGAAAAAAGAAAAAGAAAACCAAAAATGTTGGAGTCAGACACCAGAGCACTTTTCACCTTTCACCACATAAAGCTGTAATGGCAGCTTATTGTTACAGAATCTTTTTTTCCATCTGCATTTGTACTACCACTGCCATAAAAAAAAATGAAAAAAGACTCACAAACACTATCACAASTCTTTGAGAGAACCTGCCAACATTTTAATTACTCTTATTCAGGCTTGCTCTTACACTATGCAGTCACATGTCCATGCCACAGTTAAGCAGGAAACAGATTTAGAGACAACTTTCAATACTCTAAAAAGCTTTCCTTCTTTGCATTCACACCCCCTAAATCCCACACCCCCACAAACCTCTTCTGCAGAGTACCTGAAACATACTGAATTTGCCTCCTACACAAGCATCAAAATGATACCCATTCTAAGCAACATAYATGAAAAAGCCAAGAGTTGAGGCAAAATAAGTTAATGCAACACTTGGCCTGTATCTCAAAGCACAGCCTTGCTCTGATTTTTCATTTAGGCATGCTGCAGCAGCGTCCTCTGCGCCACCCTGACAAGAGGGCTTCTAAGAGAAAATACTAAAATTGTAAAGTGTAAAGGTGTATGTACRTCCATATGCATGTGTGTAATAAACAAGTGATTCAAGTGTTAAAACTCTAAGCAATCCTTTCYACATACATTCTCTTGTCTCCCAATAAAGACCTGTAAGGGATAAATTTTCTCCAATGATAATTTATTAGTTTATTATTTTATTACTGTTTTGTCAAAATAGAACAAACATTCATTTTAATTGTTTTGTTTTGAGGGGGAAAAAGCATTTTATACAATGAGGGACTACTTAATTTTGTTTCTTTTTATTAGTATCTTTCAATTTTGCTTTTATAAATGTTTCCATTCTATCATCCCTACCTTGCTAGGAAGCAAGGATGCAGTCAGTGTTATCACATACACAGATTCAGGATCTGAACTATTCTCCAGATCCACCATACAGACTGAGCTGACCGGCAGCAGAGTAGATGATGCTAAAATATTTAATCCCACTGAAACCCTTTTTTAGGAAGTATTTGCTTCATGACTTCAAAAGTCATGTTAACCACCACACATGCCTGGATAGTAGAAACACAACCTCTCCCAGTAAGCAAAAAAAAAACCAATTTTCATAAAGCTTTCCTATTTTTGCAGCAAAATGAGTGTGCCTAACTCAATGCTTTCAGACTTTTCCTTAAGACTTGTCAGAACAAGTAGTTCTCAATCAATGCCTTCCAAAGAATCCATCACCACATTCTCTGGTATTGCTCTTGCCATYTATATAAAGAAAGTAAAAAGTTTGAAGTGAGTAGAACAAAGTTTGACAGTCCATSATATTCTACTTCTTTACTACCATTATTTATAGATCAGAAKAGCTTAGGACAATGATTTATAAAAKATTTAKGGTGCTTTCCAACACAAGAAATGCACACATATATGCATATTACTGTGTTTTTATTTCCCCTGCAGAACAGCAGGATTCACATTATGGTATTATGCAAAAGGATAAATGGAAGTCTCAACAGATTATTTTTTGTTATCTAAAAAATTATGGTATATACAGGAAGCAGCATACTGTAAAGTGAAAATATTATTGCTTCTAAACAAGAAAATGGCAACTCTGCTGCATAKCAATGAATTGATACCAGAGGAGGAGAGAAAAAATATAGTACTGAACTTCAAAGGTCATATAAACTTATCAGTACTTTTCACAGAGATRCGAAAGTCTAAATCATGTGTCTGTCAATCAGCTGCTGTGATATATGAATTACCTAAACTATGTGGAAAAGATCACCTTGTATTTTATGGATCTTTCCATCTTMCTCTCAATGCATCATATTAGAAAAAATATAACAGAAGTACAAAGAGATGATGTTCTCATTGTTTTCTTAAATTTGAGAGGCTGCTGAGTTTAATTCAAATTACAATTTATAATTAACAAAGAAAATGTGCTATTTGTTTAAGCAGTAGTCCCATAGGATCAACACAGTCATGAAARAGAAGCTGCTGGTAAGAAATACAAATGTTAAAATCTTGCTGCTGTCACAGAACCTGGATTGTTCACAGAATGCAACTAATTATTTCTCAAAAAATTAAATTTGCCCAGTCAAAAATCTCCAGAGTGGTAGCATCAAAATGTAAGATAAATCAGAGAAGCCATTTCACTACAATACCATAACAGCAAAGAAGGGAGAAAAGGAAATTAAACCAGTGCCAGACGCAGTTCAGAACTCAGTCCATTTCCTGTGGAAGTGGTGTAAAAAACTCATCTCAAATCTCAATAATTTTTGGCTGAGAGAACACACTTGGAATAAATTTAAATCAGAAAACCAATTTACAAATAAGACATTTAAAGCAGTCCTTCTCAGTTTAGTCCTTTCAGACAAACTTAAACAACATTTTTTCCCCTTAYTGGAAATGATTTGTTGATCTTCTTGAATTTGGAAGGAATTAAAAAGAAAGGGGAAATAATTTCCAGATGAAGAGCAGAACTTTCCTTCCACAGAACTTTCCTTCCACACAACTTCACGAAGCAATAGAGATACCTTTGCAGATCTAACCCTGKTTTTCATGTGAATTTATCACCTCTTTCATGGAGTTTTCAGGCAGAAGTAATAACAAATACATGCATTTCCCACTGAACTAATTGTCATTACCAAAATATAAAGTTATATTAAATCCAAGGTTTGAGACTAAGAACAAACATCGGCTGAAATGTAGTGATATCCCACATAGCACAAAACTAAGGGATTTCATGAGCTTATAGAAGTAATCACATTTGAAAGAATTTGTAGTGTAATGTTTATGAAGATCTACGATGCAGATTGCCAACAATTTTTCAGAGACTCAATCGAAATGCATTCCTTCACCATAAATGCAGTGCCTTCTATAGTATGTTTACATATGTGTTACTGCTTCCTGTTCTAAAAATTGATAAAGATCACACATTTCATGACAAATAGTTAGCAATAGTGACAACATGGTGAAAAATGGCAGYTTTTGCTATGTTGTGTGAAGCACATCCAGTCCATAGCCAAGAAATTAATAATTTAAGTACTCAAACAAACCAGGCAGCCTGCCAACATGGATTTCTGCCTTGGTGAATTGGGAGAACTGAACTGGCACAAATGACTGCAGCAGTCCACAATCACCGAGTGTCAACATTAAGGAAGCTACTGTAACCTATACAGCTTTATTGTTGACAACCAGCACATCCTTCTGCCCCAGCAGTCAGACCACAAATGTGACCACACTGCATCCACAAAGTGCAAAGGCTTGTCTTTAACCCATCCTGCAAAGTCCACTAGCTTTAGCTATGTCTGTTTGCTTTGTTACACAACTCTACAGGGGGAATGTACTGTGCTAAGTGATTTTGGTTAAGGTGGGGAGGGAGAGTGAGAAACAGGTATCAGCACAACTCAGTGCCCTCTGGCAATTCCCACATAATTCTAATAAGTTACCRGTCTGAAAACAGAGATACTAAGAAGGTAAGTATCAACATGAAATTATTKCGGAAAATCGAATTGCAACTAAAGCATGGATATTCCATTAATAGTGACTATTAAATGTAACCAAATAATATTTCTACAAGGGACCCCTCAAAAGTCTTACATCCCGCATCTCACGTCGGAAGCACAAGTCCTTTCATCTGACTCTTGTGTTTAGATTAATTCTAGATTTTAGAATTCTGTGGCCATAATTGTATTTTATGAGAAAACTTATTGCTATCATCAAAGGGTTAAGAAGAAAGYACTGAATGAACTGTGAGCATAAAGAAACTGTGCCAGTATGTAGGGAAGGTTTATTATCCATAATAAGAAAGAGCTAACTACAAGAGAAGCATAACGGGAAAACAAAAGCACCATCTGGATCACATTACAGTCTGAAAACATTCACTGACACCTAAGAGAGAGCTTAAATTATTTCAAAAAAATATAAGAGATATTTGAAACTGAATTGTCTGCACAATTGTGTTACTTTAAAGCATGGCTTTAGAGTTTTTGCATTAAATTCTACATACAGAAGATATATTTTAAAACTACTGTATACAGATTATTTCAGACAACTTTCCTCTTTTCATTGTGCAGATCCTTCTGTTGGCCTCTGTTGAACTACACAGGAGAAGCTGTTCACGAATGTACTACACAGCTTCTGTTTGGATAACAACAGSAGGTCAAGTATCAAGCCACTTCAAGCATTTAAAAAATACAGAGGGATCAAGGGAAAAAACCCAAACTGAATATGAAGCAAATTGGAGGACATCTCTGTGTGACAAAGGAAGGCCTCAAGCACAGAAACACATTAAACGGTTCACCATTTAATGCCTTGCAAGAAGTCAAGAAGCATTTCAACTATGGAACTAGAATATTTCAGCTATTAAAGTGGAAAGCAAGCAGAGGCAAATGGCCATCAGATTATGGTGTAAAACAGTGTTGTGAGAAGTCAAGATTTTCAGCTGAGTTAGATACAGTTCAAACAGCCCAGACAATATGCTCCAACAGAAACCAGAACGCACCAAAATTCCAGTAGGTGTTATAAGAGTGTTCTTCCACAATTTACTTTAGCAAAGATACCCATACACAAGCATTTATAATCTCTGAGATAGAATTAAAATTCATCTAGAGTTACCATGAAGATTTAGCAAGTACACTGAGCTTCAAAAAAGACAATCTTCAAAAGAGAAGCAGTCTTGTGGTTTCAGAAATCTTTTAGCATAGTTCAGCATCTCATGATATGCTATTACTTGGTATGATTACCACCTTTTATTTCTGAGCCAGTAGAACTCATTAGCTGAAATGTCAGACAGAGAATAAANAAAAAAAAAAAAAAAAAAAAAAAAAAAAAAAAAAAAAAAAAAAAAAAAAAAAAAAAAAAAAAAAAAAAAAAAAAAAAGAAGAGGTAGATTTGGATTCTATTAATATTTAAACACTTCAGAAAAATCTCACATGCCTTTTTTGGTAGTATTGTCTCAGAATTCTTGTATTTTATACAAGCTAGAAAGTATTATGAGAGTCCAAAATCAATGTAAATTCTTCTGAGTAGATACAGATCAGATAAATGCTAAATTTTGTATCCCAAATTTATTAAGTATTCTTTTAAGAATAGAGAATTCATAGAYTTAATAAATTGTAATTATTTCAACAGTAAGATGAAGTTTTTATAGTTTCTGAAAATGCTTACTTGCATATGCAAACATTCTTAAGTGAGAAGTCCACTTGTAAAAACTTTTACCTACAGTAGTTAAAAGAGGAAGTGTGAAAGAGGAAGATATATATGATTCATCTAAATGTATGACTTTCCCTAATTACTCAGCCCAAACACTGAGACCTGAAAAAGAGGCATAAGTGTTTGAAAGAAATGGAAAGTGAGTAGAAAAATACTCAAGGAATTGTCAAAATGTTTTCTAATGAAATTTAACCAGATACTTTAAGATGCTCACATTCATTTTTTTATTCAGGTGAGAGTAGCTTTTGTTTGGCTTGGTTTAGGGTCTTTGGRATTTTTTCCCTAAACTTTTTTCAACACTGGAAAAATTTTGTTTTATTTAATTCTTTCAATAATATTTTTTTAATAATTCATCCTGTATTTAAGTGATTAACAAATTAACCAGAAAGTCATCAGCTAGACAGAGTCTCTTTCAAGTGATCAATCTGTGCCAAAGCTGACATCAGACAAGCACAGATACAAAATAACATACAAAATAGGAAAACTTAGAAACTTTGAYTTCATTTAGTTGATGCTAATGACATCTCAAAGATATTGCTTAATTTTTCTAGAGTTTGGAGGAGACAAGGAGGATTAGTGGCTTTATTTCCATYTACAGCAATTCAGTCTAAAGATAAAGGTGATTTCATAGGAATAATTTTCCACACACACACATTAAAATGCTTCTCACTTTAASATGCAATTTCATTCAACTGCATTGAACACCTGGATAGTTTTGAAGTAATAACCTAATTAAGAATCACTATGTCAAAGCTCATATACCCATATGGCTTTMAATGTTCAAGATAATGTGAATGCTAGGCATTTAAATTCTTTATGGTAGACCCCAGTGAAGAAAAAGTAAATATACTTGTGTCCACCTTAAATCAGCCATTGCCCTGGCTGAAATTATTTTCCAATAGTTCAGAATTTTCCTTAAACTACTAAAGTGGTTCAGGTAAAACTTATCTTCACTTGATAGAAATGTTATAATGAAATAAATAATAAACAGTGACTTGGAGCTAAAAGTTTTGCTCAGCACTAATATCTATGAAATTAGATGCATGTTTTATATCCATCTATTGAACTGCACCTTGAAAGGGATACCTCTGGTTCACTGCTCGGTGTATGTAGATTACTTAACACTGCATCTCTCAATATGCTTTTTTGAGAACAAAAAATTTTAAAGAACGACTAACCCAAACCAAGCCAATAAACAAATAAAAAAACCCAAAACAAAACAACCTTCTGCCCAAAAAAAACCCCGAAATGTTTCTGTCTAACCTCCATAGCCTTGCTGAGTCCTGAAACTTATACAATATGCTACAAAAAGTTCAAATTCAGAACACACAAGTTGTAATTCGTTTCAGCTATTCCAATTCTGAACAGATRTCAAAGGTATCTATGGGGATTTTTTTGTTTGCCGAAAAGAAAAACAATCTTGATTTACTAACTTATTATTGGCTGTTCCAAAGATTGCATAATGCTGCACCACTTTAAACACTTGCCCGATAACCTACCATTGAATAATAAACCTATTACAAACTAAGAATTATCTTCCCTAATTTTTACTTACACCTTTGAATTTGCACCCATATATAAGGCAGAAATAACCTACCTCACTTCAAGTTTCAACCTCCCATATCACTATAAAATATGACACAGTCATCTCCACAGAATATTACCTACTTGGAAGCAGATATGGATCATGTTTGTTTCAGAAGTGTGYTTTTTCTTAGACAGCATGTTGTTAACCGAGATCAGATATTACAGTAAGATTAACCAAGGGACTCATTCATATCCTCTCAAACCTGACCTAGGCAGATTGAGACACAGAATTCTGAGACGTAAGAGTGATTAAAAAATCAAGATGTTGGTARTAAATTCTCCAAAGAGGTACTCTTTTTTACAGGGTAAAAGGAGTTAGGTCCTTTTAAAAAAACTGTTATTGGCAGACTAATCTGGGAATAATTTTCTCAGTGGTAAAACTGCTTTTAATTAAGTAGTGCTTGTTAACATTTCGTGACACAGACATAAAATGTAATTAATGCACAAAGATATTCCCTCCCTTAAAAAGCCTGCAAATTTACTCTTTCACTGGAAACCTTAAGTGAAAAAAACTTCAGGACTTATCAATGATAATTCTAGAAYATCAATAAAAAAACAGATCAAAGCTTTATTCAGACATGAACCTTACCTTCCTTTTTCAACAAGCAGCAGGACATCTATTCTCTCTCCATTTTGCATCACACTACTGGTTGCTGAAAACAAAACAAATAGACATTCAYATAACCTTCACAGACACATATCTATAGACAAACGCAGTGATGCATGCACATATAGACACATTTTTTTCAAAATTATCTTCAGCAGCAAAAGCAGCATGGAATTCTTAAACTTAAAAAATACAGAATGCTGCTGATAACAGCAAAAAAAAAACCAAACCCTCCACCAAATGGAGGTTTACATTTATGTTTAAAAGGAAAACTGATATAGAACATTATCAAGGAAGTTTAAACACGTACTTTTTAATGCAAAAACATGCTACAGTGTTTTATTATTTTAAACTTGTAAATACAAGTTGTAGAAGACATAACAATTCAGAAGTAAGTTGGATTTTGGAATCCATCAACTTCTTCCACCTTGAAGGCTGCACGCATTTATAATAGCATAACCCAAGTTATATTTACAGTGTGAAGATCATAACCCAAGTTATATTTACAGTTCTTTATGTTGCCTTATTTTATCCTTGCTAAAAAAAAAGCACCCTGTAAAACAGCTACATTATACATAATATAGCAAATACATCTGGATAGTTTCCCGTTACAGTGTTTGTAAAACTATACTGAGCAGCATACCAAAATCAGTACATTAATTTTAATCTGCTTACTAATTTGAAATCCTGAAAAGCGAATTTCTCAAAGTGCATGTCATATATAATCCACATCTTATTTCAACTAATTCCCAGAGACAGTAAAGTCCTAAACATCAATGAAACTCAATAAATGCATTGCAGGTTATTTGATGCTTTTGAATTACACACACTCCTAGCATCACCTATATTTACTGAGTCAAATATCAAGAAGGTAGGTGACTATACTTCCATAAATGATTCCTTATATGTTAAGTTTCATTTATACAAATTAGTATTAATAGTGGAACAGATTTATTCTGCAGAAAAYAGAAATCAAAGAAAAGAGTATGGGCACATATTATTTCCAAGATAAACAACTAATATTACAAAACACAAGCAAAAYGTAATTCTCAAGAAAGTCAAAAGTGTTTCATTTTTATCCATGAGATATACACAGATTTTGGATGCTGTTAKGATTCTGGCAGAGGCAATTACAGTTGCATCATCATAACAAATATCAGGAATAGTTCTCCKTCTGCCTAATCTTTTAATTCTGAATTAAGATCAAAGGTTTTCACAAGTTAAAAGACACCTAGAGGCATAAAAATATTCCTGATTAAAAACCACCTTCATGTTGTTTTTCACACCAAATACAAGGTGACAGTAAATAAGCAGTGGAAAACCCAATGGCATTAGTCAAGCTCCTGAAAAACAGTCCACAATCCGACAGCATTTATAAAGAGAATCATCAATAAAGAGCTAAATTATCTTCTCAATGTTACTTTATTATAAAATCTCAAATTATATGTAGTTTTCTATATAACATATTGCCTTGTTTAATATAAAAACAAGTAGGGCAGACAGGCTTAAATGAGGTTTCAGAGGATAAATACAAATGATATAAAATTGGTCATAGATGACCATTTGTACATTCTTATCTTCCCCCATCATGATACTGAGCAAGTAATATTTTTAGTATCAGATAAAAGTCTATTAGTTTGTGAAATAGTTTTCCAAGAGAATTATAATTTTCCAGTATTTTTGAATATTTCAAAACTAAACCTGTCAATCATCTCAAGAACATATCCTGCAGTGAGCATTTCTGCCCTGTCAAAAACATGAGACAATAATCCCAAAAGGTTTTATATTAGTATTCAATTCTCTACTCTGGTAAGAAAGATACTGCCGCAACTGGAACAAAAACTGTCATCATTCATTATAAAGCTGTGAAAAATTTCTCTAGGATGTGCCAAAAAGTAGGAACAAAAGTCCCAAGAGAGAACTTTACCAACTCCRTATTTAGGTAAGAGGTGGAAGAACATCTAACTAATGTGAAGGAATAGTTACTGAGCTTCCCAATTTTTATTACTTTGAAATGCAACAGAAATGTCCTTAACTGTGAATTAATCCCATAGAACATTTTCTGAATATTAGACATTAAACAAAGTTCTTACTTAGTTCTTGTAACCTCCTTAGATATATGGAATCTTCTTCAGCATCCTCCATTTCAAGGCAAAAATAAAGGCTTGACTTGTCTATAGCAAACCAGCCTTTCCTCCACTGATCCAGGTTATGGCGATCTTTGTAGTACAGCTGCCCGATCAAATCATAGTCTCGCTCTAACAACGATTCAGCCATGGGGGGAACAAAATGCTACCAAAGAAAATGGGGTGAGTCAGATGAAGAAAAAAACCCTCTGCCCCTAAAAAAAAAAATCAAGATTATGCAAATCTATAGGATTCTAGGATGAAGGTCACAKTAAAAAATTAAAATTTTAAAATATGCAACTCATAAACCTATAGATACACTGAATTTAAAATATAAAATATAGTTTAGTATTTTTCCCATTCATATTCTACTATTCAAATATTTTTTCTTTTAAACTACCATTGATTTAATTAGTAATGYGATTATTAACATTTGGAACTATAAAATATGGTATTGCTTTATGAATTCTGTTTCAGCAAATAAATTTAATAAATTGCAACCATAAAAAACTTAGCTGGAATATATTCATATAGTATATGTCTTTATACTAGAACACCTTTAATATATTCTTAAGTCATGATTAAAATGCTGCTTCARTTCCTTTCATATTTTATTATCTTGTTTCAAACATTAAATCACAGAAGTTATTTCTTCCTGCTGCATAAGAAACCTTTACACACAGGACAGATCTGTATTCATCAAGAATGGCTTATCAAAGGTCTTAAGCTAACAGTTACATTTTATTATTTGTGCAAAGGCTCCTGGCCTAACTGAAAAAGATAATTATCAGTATTACCTTAGCTATTGCACAAGTCCATTTCCTTTGTGAATATGCTGTTTCAGCTCCAAATAGAAAAACCCGTTCTGACATTAAGTATAYTTCAAATGTAAAGATGTCCCTAAASCAAGCAAGAGAAGAAACAGTTGTATTTAGTCTTCAAAACAGCAGACATACAAGAGTTTTATTTCATTATTTTTTCATTCTTTCATACTTATGGAATGGAATTCATCTGCATTTCTCCTCCAATCWTACAAGTACGGCCCAGCTAATAATGGACTACTTTACAACATAACAGGATCAAAGGACTTTGCAGGTCAACAGTACGTGTACACAGTCTATGGTGTAACAGTTTTTTGAGTAATTCCAAAATGCATAAAAATWTTGACATACAGTCATTAAAAATGCACAGGGATTTTTTTTTATTTTTGCAAGTTCGTGTGATTTGATCAAGTATATTTTTGTGATGCATTCAAAATATATTTTTATGTTTAAAATAARCAGACCGACTAATTGAACAGGAAGTTGGAAACTCGTTGAAATGATGGTTCATAGGGAGTTTTAGCTGTCATTTAATCTAATCTCTGCTCAAAGTGGGATAATCACATGAGAAGCCTTGTCAAGGCTTTCTTGTCAAGAAAAGAGTCAAGGATGGAAAGTGCTTATCTTCTCACCAACCTGTTCCTGTCCTCCACCTCCCTCTAATGAAGAGGCAATGAAGAGGCTTTCCTGTCAGCAGCCTGAATCTGCCGGGGTGAAATGCGTGGTCACTGTGTATCACCTGCCATCACCAAGATGACTACTTTGAAGCTGCTGTAGCTCAAGAAGCCCTTAAAAGTTTTCTTAAGGGAAGTTCTTGGGTTTTTACCTTTTAAAAATTATATCATTATTTAAGCAGATGAACCCTGGTTTTCTTCTGTTTTTAACTGACAAATAAGGACAATTAAAAAAAGAAAAAGCAAACCAGTTAAAACTGGTGTGGGATTTGGGAAGTAAATATCATGTTGAACTTAGGGTCAGTCTTTAATTTACAAATTATGGTTTGCATATTTWTAGCATGATATTGTTTGTGTCTGCCTTTCCCTAGATGCCAAATAGATGGAGGAAACTTCTTCTTTCAGTGACAGAGACCGAGATTTGTCCAAATGTGGAGAAGTGAGCGTGAGTCATTTCTGTCATTTTCAATAACCACTTTAAAAATTTTATTAACATTTAGTTCTGACTAATAGAGTAGGCATTTTTAAGGACCAGCTGTTTCACTACATGAAATATCAAATCTAAAGAAATTCCTCATAAAACTCCTCAATCACAGATAAAGCATAACAGGAAGTTATTTATTCCCCAAGAGTGACGTATTCAGTAAACATGTTTTTTAATTTAGACATTATCCTAAAATGCAACCACTTGGAGATGTATCAAGCATAKGTTAGATTGGACCACAGAAGAAAAAGGTGATTTGTTTCATTTTTCCAGATATCACAAAGCTACTACAGAATAGTGAAGGTCACTTCCCCATATTTTATAGAATATTGAGACATCACCATGTTTCAGGATTTCTCTCCCCATAGTAGTCTAAGCCCTTTATTCCCAGTATCTTTTTCAGCAGTTTACTGAATAGACTATGCTTTCTTTGCAGACAATTCAGTTCTGTAAATGAAAACATTMCAGTACTATACTATAGTAAGTTATATTTATTTTACATGCATACATACATATTAAAAAATGTAAAGAAAGTGTTATGGAGTTTGTTAGACATATAGAAAGTACATTTTAAACAAAAATGTTCCCCTAAAAAAAGTGAGTATGACTTGAATGCGACCCAGATTTAGGTCACTCTCCACGTAGTGTTTTTCATGCACAAATAGCATGTGAGCGAGTTGTAAAAGAAAAAAACAAGACCACACAAAAATAAAAGCTGTTATCTTCAAACTAGCAATGTTCATCAGTTACACTTTGTCAGCTGCAGAACAAAGAATGGATTTYAAGGAACAATATCTCTGTGACAAAATCCAGAAGCATTGTGGAGGGCTCTAGTCTGCTGCATTATAGGAAAAAACAAAGTAAGAATTTTGGCTCCAGGCAGAGGTCAGTCCCAGAAAGAAAAATGAGTATTAATTGTTCAAATTATCATCATGTAACCTTTCAAGCACTGAGACTATGCATTACATATTTAATAAGAAACAGATGTATCTAATTTAAGCTGSTCTTTTAAATTACCCTAATATTTTAATTCTATCATTATTAAAAAAAAAAATCCCCAAATATCACATAGAACTTGTTTCTCAAACTCCCATAAAACAATACAGGTCTTTTTTTTTCACAATTGCCTATTCAAAATTCAAGGAAAAAATGAACTGTTTGTTTATTGAAATATGAATTCAGAAGCTTACCCTCTGTTTATAAACAGGTCTGACTTGTGTACTACAAGACAGATAACTTCACTGATGTCAATCATACCATTAGGAGTGGTAGTTTTATCATTTTCATAGTAGCTCAGAAAGCCACTTTCCAAAGTGCACCATTTTTTGTTGCCATCTGTGATTAAAGAAATAATAGAAAGATCATGTTTCTTTAGGAATTTTTTTTTAGAAAAACAAGTAAATACAAGGTGTACAAAAAAGTCTGCAGAGCAACTTCAATGAATCMTTTGGTATATTTAATTACAAATTTTTACTCTGTCTTATGACCTAAAATAGGAATACAACACATGACATAGCATAGTAATGACTATTTGCAACTGAAAATTCTCATGAATTTATTCTAGCTTCCACCAAGTTCTTAGAACAAAATCTGAGGTGCATCTGTTTCCACTACTGCACAGAAGCAAATTCCAAAATAAAATACTCTTTTTATTCTCTACAGTCTTAAAGCTCCTATACAGCTGTCAAAGTATTTCTGAGAATTTGGTGAAACAGATCTGACAAAAAAACCCACAAAAATCAAACAAAAAAAAAAAAAGCTGCAATTTGCAAATACTTACTGTTATCTGATGTTTCATCCAATTCCCTTTTCTGTTGTTTTCTATGATTTCTCTATGTTATATAAATATTTGAGTACTATTTCATTAGTATTTATTTGTATTATGCTATTTGTTATCTAGACAAGGTTCTGTAAAAATACACATTTTAGTACTAAAATTAACATGAGCTAAAGGGCTTGATAATGCATAGGTTTACAGGAGTTAAGCACCAAAATTCAAAGTTTTGAATGGTCAGGGGTTTTGTTCCCCGGCTTTCCACCTCCCATCTTCCAAAACCTAGACTACAAAACAGCTCACCTCTTCAAGAGTCATTGAACTATTAAACTATTAAACTCCCAAGGACAATTTTGCAACAGCAAGGCCTTTAAAAGGGTTCCATAAAACCTTTTAYACTAGAAATAGAGGCAAAAAAAACATCAAGCCTCAAGCCTTACTTTTTCATCCACCACATCAGAACACCACCAACATTTGAGCTCTCTTCCTGCTGATATCAACAGCTGTTAATTAACAACAACTCTCCTCAAAAGTTACGCACCCCTGCTGAAACCACTGATGCTGCTATAATGAGAAGCACACAGAGAGTTGGCTCTCTCCTGTACTCAGGTGCACATGATGAAAAACAGGGCTGTATTTCCAGGTGTTCCACCTGATTGGTATAAAACCTTGGTTAATTCACAGCACTGAATGATTTCTTCAGTGTCTTTTTACCACAAGGGCCGAGCTGACAAAGGGATAAGTGCTTAACAACAAACACTGCTTAAATTTTCAGCCCTTGATGCTAAAGGCAAGGCTGACAACAGCCTCAGAGATTCCTAGCACTGAAGGAGAACTTAAATCTAATGGTTAAACAGCTTCCCAGGATTCTGAGTAGGAGCCCTATCCACACACAGTATTAAAAATAGAAGAAAAAAAAAAAGTAATAAAAGCTCCAAATTTAGACAAATGCTGTGAGAAAATGGTGCTCCTTCTCTGGCCAGCAGAGGTTTCAATTAGTTTACAGCAAGTCAGAACTCCTTCAACAGGAGTTCTCTAGAATTAAATAGGTCAGATTTTTCAGGTAACATGACCTTATTTAAATATCTACAGGCAGAAGAGGCAACTGAAACTCTTTCTCCCACATATTAGCACTCTAACTCTCAAATTACCTCCTAAAGAGAGTAAGAAGGAAAAAAAACATTTCCACTTATTCACAATAATCTGCAATGTACAATTTCATTTTAGTGAGATTTAGAAACAGTAGTGAAAGAAGAGAAGAGAGATTATATGTTTTAGGTCTAAAATAGCAAAAGGAACTTTCGACATACTACTTCTTAAACATGGCAGAGATAGATTTGAGCCCTAAGGCAAGAGAGTTTCTAATTCAAAATTGCAGGAGTTTTTGTTGTTATTGAAAGGATGTCATTATATCTCCCTTCCTTGTTCCATTTGTCTCCTTGAGCTGCCAGTGGTCAGGGAAACCTCTCTTCCTCTGTATCCGTAAAGAGCCCATCGCAGAAATATCAGTCCTGACAAACCCATGGGTAACTCAACACCARTATAAAAACAAAGCAAAGAAACATCAACCCCCAAAAAAGCAAACAACAGAACATCTACCATCTTCAAGACACTGTCACGATTTTGGAGGATAAAACCTGAGCTGAGAGAAATCTGGTTCCTTTCCATTTACTCTATGTTCCTTCAAGTAGCAAGTGCCATGTCAAGCAACAGAGTACAAACTTTCAAAGCAGCTTCCTTCATTTCTGTCCACTACACACTTGAGATGGAAGACAGTCAAAATTTCTTGCCTGAAGGTTTTCCTCATAAATATTTCAAGACGTCCTACTAACAATGCTCGGTCTCAGTGCATCTCCCCCAAAAGGACTGCAGAAGCCATTCTGTGAGCACTTTCAGCTAAATCTTCAATCTATACGGGTATTTACAAACATACTGCACTTATAACATGYGATTGTGTCAGAAGAGATTGCCTTGTGTCTGCTCTTTGCTTGCTAAGCACTGACTTCTGGGGTTTTCTCCAAGTTTTTTTATGACAAGATACAGATACCCACACAGTACCCAGCACAGAAGATCAGACTGCACTTGGAGCGAGTAGTAACAAGGTTTGCAGTTATTACATTGTTTCCCAAAATTTTAGAGCAAGCCTAAATTAAATCCTATCTAGCAGCAGTCCTTTGTCACAACAGCATCTTCGTTAGGAACTGCAAAGTTGCTGGGAAGTGCCTGTGATCAGGCATTAGCTCTGCTCTCATCCAATGCTTTCCAGAATTCGGAGCCACATTAACATGAAGATTCTTCAAAAGCATATTTAAACAGGAGTTTTATGCTTTAAAATGCTTTTAACATCCACTAAGGATCTTMAAGGCATAGGCCATGAGAATATGAACATAAACATACAAAAATGTGTATACACCAGTGCAGGATGCCATGTAAGGATTTTAGGAGCAATAAATTCAATAACAAATCAGCACAGGTTTTAAAAATCCACATGATTTGTTTAGATGGAAGAAAATTACAGGAAGGGAATTACAAATAGGGAGAAAAAGGGAACAATTATCTGATAACACCTCTCTCAGAAAAAAAAAAACAAACAAAGAAAAAAAGAAGACTGATATGCGCAGGAGACCACGTACATCTACTGCGATATTTATGCATTTTCACCCCAYAAAGCTCAATTTATCACAAAGCTGTTGGAGATGCTCATTTCTACTTGGAATATTTTGCAAATCTGTGAGCTTCAGAAATATCCTACTAAAACGTCAGTGCTACTTGCAAATTATTTCTGTAATAGAATAATTTTAGATGAAAACTAATTTTTAGCATTTATCTAAACATAATTAAAGCAAGAAGTGTTTCTATTTGTTTTTTATTTAACAATTACCGTGTTAACTGAATGATTTTTCAGAAGTTCAGTCTTCCTCCTCTGTCAACTACTAAATGAAGAGATCAAGACAAACAGTATTTTGTTTATCTAAAAGAGGTCTACTGAATCAAAAGAGGATATGTCATATCAAAGACATTTTATCTCTCAAAAAATAATGCAAGAAGTTAAAAAGAATAAAATTCATCCAAATCATACATATTCATGTGTTATTCAAACATGTAAACTAAAAGTGAAATACCTTCTTTTAATTTCTTCTCTGTAAGAAGCTTGGGTGTATTAGAAGAAACTTTGTATAAGAATTCACAAAGAAAGTTGGAATGGGAAGAATCTTCAGAGAAGCCACTTTCAAAACAAGTATCATAGTTTGGGAAATCTGTTCAAAGACAAAGGAGTAAATAACGTTCAGATCTTCAGTTATATCACTTAAAGCCATTTTTTCCACACATGTCTTTCTAAATGCATTGTCAGTAAATCTGTAGTTGCTCTGCAGTATCTTTACTACAAAACTGATAAAACTTACTGGTTCTATTTTAATAATTAGAAAACATATCCATAAAAAAACATTGGTTCACATTTGTTACAATGTTGCCATTGTCTACCACTGCTTGCCAAGGTAATATAAAATACTGTTTTCTGATGTACCAAACTTTGATTTTCATCCCTTAGGTAAAATACTTCACTAGAAGTTGATTGCTCCTCTTGAGGGCTTCTGTAGAGTTTACCAGCAACTCTGGCAGCAGGAGGACAGAGATTCTGGGAATCATCATCGACATGCACTGATCTCCCTTTCTCTAAAGATAAGAGTATGATGGTGCTGCTTTGGCTGGAAGGCCAAAACTAGAAAAGACAGAGCCAAAACAAGCAAACTTCTCTCTCTATAGCCTTAGGACCAGTTGAGACCATAGCTAGCAGAAAACAAACCCTAGCTACATGTCTGCTCCATCACTGAGCTCAATATCCTGTGATCCTCAATATCACGGAACCACCCTGAGCAATGCCCAGGCAGGAGTCAAGGCACTGTTTGTCCTTGGAAGCTTTAATTCATTCCTGTGTTTCCCTAAGTATTGAATTAACATCAAAACTTTTTTTGTTCAGCTTATACAGTGATACTTTGCAGAGTAACACATGCCAGGGAAAATTGGTACAGGACTACATCTACATAGCTTCTTTGTTTTTCAGTGGAAATCTGCAGTGAATATTCAGCTCCTGACTGCTTCAGATACTGTCCAGCCCTTTTAAAAGCAGAAGCTCAGTTGCACCCATACACCTCAATTTATTTATTGTTAAGAACAGCTTTCTGTTTTCAAAAGCCTCATAGCAGCCACAAACTGCACATGTAACTSTTGACTTCTAAGCCAAAGTTTATCATTATCGTATCTTCTGCAACAGAAGCTGTGATGGGAAAAAGAGGGTTCTGGGATAGATCATATTGCAGGTTCAAGAGGTAAGTTTTATTTTGGGAGGAGAGTTTGTGAAAAAACAGCYAGGTCTGTGTGCAATAGGAGTAGATATCGATTTAAATAATCTTCAAATAAAAAACAAAGTGCCAGATGAATTCTCGAGACATACTGAATGTATATGATCATTTTTTTCTAGTAAAAGGCTGATAATATTGACAGASAAGATGATTTTTTTTCTATCCTATAACTAAGTGTATGAGATCTATGACTTAYCATGGTGTTGCTTGGGGGTTTTTTAAGTCCTAAACAAGATGTATGAGCAAAACAGCAAATTTCCACACAACTGAAATTGTGTACTAATAAAATCCAGTCAATGCCATCACCACTGCCACTCTGCTATACCATCACTCTTCAAAGCAAAGCCAACTTTTCTTCTGAGCTATTTCCTTCCCTTTTTCATAATATAAAATTTAGAAGATCAAATGAAAGAAATGCATTGTACCTGAGAACTTATTGTGGTACAGAAATTCCATCTGCAGTCTTTGTCCAGCCTTCTTGGCTAATAAGTAGGGGGTACTGTAGCCAGGGTCTCCAGTGGCACACATCACATCAGCCCCACTGAAGAGCAGCATCAGCGTTTCCAGCACATCYTGCTTGACCACAGCAGCACACAGGGCCTTGCCACAGAGAGGAAAAATAAGAAGTCTGTTTAAATTAGAGAGTCACTGGCAACAAATACATGCAATGTAGATGCAAATCCTTTCACCTCTGACACAGCCAGGCCACAAACATTGACAAGTATCAAAAATCATGAAATATAGTCTGAATCTGGAAAAACGCCACACAACAAAAAAAAAAAAATCCCAAAACATCAACCCAAACCCTGCAAGATGTTGCTGCCACAAATTACACTCGGAAGGATAATGTGAATTAATACAACTGGAGGGTAAGCTAGTTGCTTATTTACATCAAACTACTAAAGAAAAAATCTTATTGTTTCAGACCTCAGGAGTTCAACCAAAAKATTCTTAACCTCTATTACTATGGCACAGGTTGAAATTCCTAGGTAATTTTTTCAGGCGATAAGGCAATCACTATTCAGTGTATCTTAATACTAGTTCCTCTTCCTTGAAATGTAAAGGTCTCACCACATCCTAAAACATGAGTCTCCTTTTATTTTTGTATACACAAACATGATCAACTTTTTTTTTTCTTTCACAAGACTGGTCCAAAATTTTAAAACAAAAAATAGCTACACAATTATGGTAACCTATTCTATTAAAGTATCTATGATTTAATATTGAAGTTAGTTAATGATTGAGTTTTTTATAAATGATTAAAGCAGAAGTCACTCAAAATAAGAGTACTCCTATAAAATTTAGCTGTTCTAATAAACACATAAGCACCCAGGAGGCACAAGATAACAGAGAAGACAGTTCAATATAAGTTCTAGAATTACTTGGCAATGAATGCCTTATTATATGGTAATTTCATGTCTCTATAGAGAATTTGATATCTTTTCCCAGTAGTTAAATGATTATTTGACACACTTCCTTCCCCACAAAAAACAAACCCCACAGATTTAAGAAAAATCATGCTTGGATAACACTGAACTACTTTCTGTAATCTGCTGTTACAGTATTAAAAAAAATTCACAGCTATTAGAAATAAATAGAAAGCAATCCAAATGTCTAATTTTGCAATGACAAAGAGCTCCCCATGATGCCCAAAAATGTCTCTCCAATGAAATGCAGAAAACAAACTCAAGCTGTAAAGTGAGATGGTTCTATATTTTGGCCGGAGGCATTTCAGTGATAACTATTCTTATATACCCTTATTTCAAATTATGTGTATGCAACTTATGTACGAAAAATAGCACTTCCTTTTCCACACATTAACACTGAACATATGTGACCACTACGGTTCAAACCACACAACTTTTAAATGCTACTGCCTCCCCACAATCTTTGCATATCCTTGCAGACAATTTGATTCATGTAATTGAATGCATTAACACTGCAAGATGCATTTAAACTCTTTGGTATTCATTAACCCTAAACAATCATAACTCAACCATCAGATATTAGAATTCAGTCAAATGGACATCAAAATTTACAGAAACATTGATAACTAAAATTTTCCACTTTATAAGCCTAAAGAATTTGTTATTTTTGTAATAGGAGAGAATACGTATTTTCCACCATTAATTTTAGCTTCTTCATTTCCAGCAAGCTACAAGCTACTACGTGTGTWTGAGCTAATTTAACCATTGATAAAAATGAATCATCTAATGCACGTGAATGTTAGATGTCAGACATGTAGGATATAAAAGAACACATAAAGTAATCTAAAGAAGTGACGTGTAAATTTGCATCCCTAGACTCCACCTGAATTAAAATAAAGATCTATATTTTCATGGTTCAGAAGGACATATTATAGGCACCACAGAAGTATCATAAACGTCTACAAACAGACAAACAAACAAAGAACAGGAAAAACAAGAAGCTAAGTAATCAACTGATGACTCCTGCAAAGGCTCCTAAACAACGCTTATTCAACTGTGTCAAAATGCCACTCTGGATGCTGAAACAATTTCTCACCCCTTTAACAAGATGACCAAATTGCACACAGATACAACACAATCCAAAACATAGGATCCAAAATATGGGCTTGACTATGCTAAATTACCTTATTCAACTGTTCCTTGGTTTTGTAGAGAAAAGGTGTTTTCCTGAATTTTCCCTCTTTGTATTTTTGTGTAATGAATGCTATCCTTTTATCCGCAGRGTCATCAGTATGCAATTCTTCATCTGGAGGAAGATTTCCAGCCCAAAAACTGTTTGCCCTCTTATTTCCAATGACAATAAAGAGCTGGACGAGATGGAAGGAAAAAATTAGCAAAATMGTATGAAGGATATGAAGCCTCTAAACAGTTTTCAGCTGCTTTAMGTTGAGAAAGAAAGTTAGAAAATTTCCCACAGGAAACAGAAGCCTTTCTCAGTCACTGCCTATGGTCATCTATAAATGAATAACAGTCTGCAGTCATCAATTACCATCAAGAGCAGCTAAACTTTCCATGGCTTATCACTTACAATACTTCATTAGACATATTAGCAAATACTAGGTGAAGTAGAGTAATGTGTTTTAAAGAAAACACTGATGGCTCCAATGCACTCTATCAGGGTCACTTTTTACCACCACCTTTTTTAAACACCCAAGGAGCTAAACAGGTAGTGAGAAGTTTCCTCTCTTTTCCTTTTGCTCCATTATTATTATTAATGAGTGCTCTCAAAAAACATTTAATTTCATTCTTCTCTCCAAAATATTACGCGCTTGGAGAAATACTAAGAGAAATTTTATGGCTAGCCAGCAAAACAAATTAATTACACAAAGGTATATGATGTACAGAAACATCGAGTTTACTGTAACAAACAATACTGCTTAGCAGTTACGTGTTCATTTTTCTTGTGACAAAAACAGTAAATAACTCCTTTTCACCCAGTAGGTTTCAAGATGGAAAAAAMCAGAATATTACAACATACCTCAATAAGCTCATTGCTCCAAATGCTGGCATCCATTTTTAGACTGCGGACCTTTGAATCTCTTGGTCCTAAAGATCTGTGCTGTCCTGAAAACCCAAGAGTACTATTTAGCTAAGGCACTTAAACAGGGTTTCTATTCTCCTGAGATAACAAAAAAATGTGATGGAAACAGATCAATTCTACTTGTTTTTTTTTTTTTTTAAAAAGGTTGGGTTTAACATCTGAATATGAAAGCATCAAAAATACACCTCTTTTTTTTGAAAAAAAAAAGTGAATTTCATTTGATAGTAATTAATAAAGTAGGTTGTCTCATGTAGACTATTTCTGGGAGAGTTGGTTTGATAGAAAGCCTAGAATTATAAATTATTTCCTTGAATCTACTGCTTAAGTACATATTTCAATACACAACATGACAGGAATAGATTTTAGTAGTATCTGAAAAAGCTATCCTTTTGGGCAGTAAAATAACCCCAGATATAACAAAATTAATACCCAAAATTTACACACTAAAAGTTACTATCCTTTGGTATCTACCCTTGCAATAGTCACTCCTTTCCCATGAAATGCTATTGTGTTTTGATTTCTACTAATTGTGAAAGATTATTCATCTGAGAGAACTCAATCACCACAGATATTTCATTTATGCATGGAAGTGCTTTGGAATAAGGATGCCCTTGGTATTAAAAAAAAAAAAGTAATGATCACATTTTGTTTTTCAAAACTTCCACAAGGCTAATGCTTCAAAAAAAAAAAAAAAAAAAGCAACCCAATCAAAACACAAAAAAAAACCAAGGACATACACAGATATGCAAATATGACATTTTGTAGAACCCACACAGATTGTCATTAATGACTCTACCTGCACACTTCTTACAAATGACAACACAGAGATTGATGGATGCCCAGTCAGGATTGGGAGCTTTACAGTCAGCGCAGCTCCTGTTGGACTCATTGAACCAAATCTTCTCCGCTACTTCATAATCGGATAGAGTTTCTGCTATTGATTGCTGGAGTGCTTCAATCCAGTCTTGTTTCTCTCTTTCTGACTCTGCTGTAAAGCTGAAACAATTGACTTTTCTGTGTTATTGATCTTTGTTTTAAAGCCCAATTAAACAGAGTCTGTAGTGTTTCTTATTTATTACATTTACACCCAAAATCTCAGTCAAAATCTTCCTCTACACAGATATAAATATTAAAATGCAATGTATTATTTTGTATTTTTAGTCAATGAAATTCTCTCTGGTTTAGCATTCAGTTTGCAACAAAACCACTACTAGTATAAGCAACATAGCTTTTGTAACATTCATATAACATCCCTAAGTTAATTTCAATCCTTTTATGTTACCCATTACCAGACTCAAAGACTGAAATTTAACAAAAGCATGGAATGGCRTAAGGAAACATGGAGACTTACTAAGAAGTAAAAATGGACTTGCTTTTCATTTATCCTTTTTAAAAATTCAATAATATACAARCATCAACATGGTGATGTTGAACTAGCTATCTACCAACTAGCAACAGATTCAAATTGCTGATCAAGGCTAATTTACCTGCTAGTTGACTGAGAATGAAAAGTATTTGCTAACATTTAACAAACCCAGAACAAAAAGCAGTTTCTTTGTCGCCTCCGTTATGAGATTTCATTTAAAAAATGCTACAACACTTAATAGAAGGCTTCTATTAGTGTGTACCTTCATTTTCTTAAAAACCATTGCAAGTCTCAGCATCAGCCAAAGTGAAAATTTTAACTGCTTTCAACCAAGGATTTCTACAAGGGATGGTACATGAAAGCTTCTGTTCAAATAAAATGTGTAACATTAAATGGATGCAGCATTATTTCACTACTGAAGTTTATTATTTAAGATGGAGTCAATTCGTTAAAGTGGAGGAATTCCTTTCTCTTTTTTTCCTTTTGCTCTTGCACAGAATGAACAAAGAAGGCTACATAAAAATACCTGTGGGCTTCATATGCCTAGTCAGGAGCTAAGAGACAAAGCACACAGCTAAACAAATGAAAGAAAATACTTTCATTTTTCTAAAAATTGCTGAAGATCCTTAACAAAAAAATTACCTTTTCAACCAAACTAGYTAACGCACTGCAGTATGAAATTATTTCTTTATTGCATTCGTTAATTGCATATTTTTTAAAGTAAATATTAAAATTCTTACCTAAAGCTTTTATAAGGAGTAATTATTTCAAAAGATTGYTTTGCAGCACGATCCACTTGTTTTACATTTGCCACATTCATAGGGATTAGAGTGATACCAAATCCTGTCTTAAAGTCCTAGGTAAAAGATAACAAAAGTTGAGGGGGTTATCATTCAAGAATCAACATGTAAAGAATTATTTCATCATGGTCCAAAAAAACWAAGTCAGTAATATACATTTTTGCTGTAATATACAAGCCACTTCTAATTTATTAATGGATAMGGAAAACACCACTAAATTTTGTCCAACCCTAAGTTTCCAATTGCTAGAATGACCTTGATTGTTGGTAGGAGAAAAAATGCACACWCTAACTATTAAGAAAGGAAAGAATGAAAAAAGATTTTAAACAACAGACTRCATTAAAATGTGAATGCAAAATTATGTATCTAGTTTAAATCATGCTTTATGTCTAAAGAATCTTTATACAACTAAATCCTCATTGACAATAGTTTTTCTTGCTTTAAAACAGTATTTTAACAAAATAAAGTATATTACATATAAAATTCTTTCTTAAACGTTTGGTTGTTCATGCTTCTGCTCTACTACATGAACTAAACATATCTTTGAAAAAAAGATCCTATACAGCAGCTAAAATAGACAAAGGGTTAGTTGGGACTCTATTATTGGAAAGCAATTTTGCCAAAAACCAAGTGAAACTGTTTGAAACTGCTTGAGTTTTTTTCTTCTCCTGCATGGAAAAATGTACTTAAAAATAACTTTTGCATTGACATAACTGAGAAATTAAATGTTCAGGGAGCTCCTCTGAGGGCCTCTCAAATGTACAGATTTTGGAAAAACTGAGAAGTACGTAGGCTATTTCTTATCTATTTGGAACACCATCAGTATTTCCTTAAATTTATTTACATGTTCATCTAATGGCAGTCACTTCCACAAGTTTAATTTCTGGCAATATTAGCTTACTTCTTGAAAATAGAAACTTCATCAGAAACAAAAAACAGTCACCCAAGTAAAAAGCCAAATTTACATMTCTTACCACCTGCATCTTCACTAAGTTACCTATCAAACATGATAGGCTGGGCATGGACTGATAAAAAGAAAAGCACTAAAGGGTAAAAACTTCAGAGTTACCTGCCTCTGCAGAGAGAATTGTTTTTCTAGTTAATACATATTTAAACCTGCATGACTGACAAGTTTCTCTCTGTAAGGTTCTCAAATTTTTGAGCACTAAAGCCTAGACAGAGAAAATATTTCACAAAACTCTTTCAATTTTATTCCCCTATTTTAGGTGYGAGCAAATAAAAATATTATTTTAGCCAAGATTGCTAAGGCTAAATCTGACAAGACACACTTTTGTGTGTGACTATGTACAAGCAGAAGTATAAATCATATCATAACAGGCATTGAAGAGAATAAGGACCCAAAAAGAACAATAATGTCCATTATAGGATGAGATTTTAAAAATGACAGAATTTCAACTAAAAAAAAAATACTATAAGGTAAGTCAGCTAATTTTTCCTTGCCMGACTTCTTATTAAGAATATTTTGGGGTTATTTAACATTCCATTACCTTTGGCAGTAGCAGTGGGGAATCAGGTATGGATTTCCCTACAACCCTTTATAAAAGGTAGTAGYTTTTCAATAAGCTGGCTTACCCACTCCTCATATAATGTATTTTTAAATATTTCTACTTTTCTTCTACCCTCATATCCTGTAAMCTACACATTTTTATTCTCTCCCCTCATCTTCAGCCCCCAGTCCATTTTCCAACAACTCAAGGGGTTTCATACTGACACACCTGCCTCAGAAAACAGCAGATCTCTGTGAAGCCTACACAGCCCCTAATTTCCTCTGTGGGAAAAGAGTGGGCAGAATAATCTCTTTTTGAGTGTGAACTTGACAGCATCCTCTGTAGCAGTGAAGTATTCTTAACTTCACATCACCAGTGAGAAAAGCAGAAGTATCAAATARTAAAAAAAGCCCAAACACTAAGGATAGAAAAATATAAAGCTTTTATTTCTATCAGTGAAAATAAAGAAGAAACATAACCAAAACAAACCAAAACCATTAACTTTCTAGAATTAAATGGTTTATGCTTCTGAGGTGTAAATTGGATGTAGTCTTCATTTGTTGATTTGATTATTTCAAATTATTTCAAATAAGTGACTTTAAGAAATCCTGATTTTAAGACTATACTTGCACCCAAACAGTGCAATGCATTCTTTGTTTATTAAATAACAGCTGAATAAATGCCAAAAGCCACGGTTAACAGGCATTCAATATACTTTTAGGCCCAGATTAAAGTTCACTGAAGGTAAATGATTAACAAAGATGACCAAACTAATGACTACCTTATTGAACCAGATCAAAAGTTCCCCACCCAGTACAGCAGCTTCCCTTTAGGCATTTGCTACTGGTGACAGTCACAATAATAATGCAAAGATGAAAAGGTGAATGCTCGTCTTCCCAAATAAGCTCACAGCAATCTAAGGGCACTCAGCTTGAAAGTCCCTGAACAAAGAGAGGCAGCAAAGCCATTTACACTTACTAGCCATTGACAGATACATCCTCAAGGAATTTTAAAAGCCCAACAACAACAACATGCTTTGAGATCTCTGCAGGATCTTATTTCATAAATTTCYCAAATACTGGTTATGAAAAAAGGAGGTCCTTTTGTATAGATATGTTGCCACCTGACAACTGAGAATATTCCATCTTTGCCTGACAATTGAGAATTTCATTACATAACGTAAGAAAAAAAGGGTAACTAAACTTAACTCATCTACTTATTGCAAATTGTCCCTTCTGGAAAATGTTTATCCTCTACTCCTTTCAGTCTCGTGTTTATGCCTGTAAATAGCAAATTGCATCTGCTTTCCTTAGAGGAAAAARGAGCAAGCTGCAAGAAGGAGCCTGCCACACAAAGATCACAAACACTAATGACACATTATTGTCTGTGAAAACAGACACCAGACTGTTGTGCTACACTTAAGAATACAGAACCAAGAAAGCACTCTAGAAACAAAGTGCATTAATTTGGAAGTCTTTACCTTTAGGTGCAGCACCAACCCTCCAAAATTTGYACACGTGCCCAGTGTATGAACAATCCCACCGAAGAGAGAATAACTCATTATGTTTTACATTTAGCAAGGGCATAAGAACTTAGAGTACTTAATTTCAGTGYGAGGAATGTCAGAAAACTCAAGAATTTAGAACCTACTTTKCWSAA